ATTCCATACCATGCTGTCCTGATAACTAACTTTACAATAAATTCTAAAACCAAGTAGTGTTAGACACTACCTGTGTCCTTTTTCAAGGTCGTTTGATTGTTCTAGGTCCTCTGCACTGGCATATGAATTTTAGAATCAGCTTGTTAATTTCTATTTAAAAAATCCTGTTGGAATCCTGACTGGGATCACATTGAATCATTAATTTGGAGAGAATTTACATCTTGACAGTACTGAGTCTGCGACACAGGAAAATGGTATCCCTCACACTTATGTAGGCCTTCTTTATCTCAGCGATATTTTGTAGTTCTCAGTGTACTGTTCATTAGTGTCTTTCATCATACTTACCTCTAAGTATTTCTTATTTGCATGTTCTTTTAAGTGGCATTTTTAAATCTTTGTGGATGAATATATATATAACATAGAATTTACCACTCACTTTACCCACTTTAAATATATAGTTCAGCAGTGTTAAGAGCTGCACAGTCTACAGAATATAAATGGTGTTTTTAAATATTCGGTTTCAGACAGAAATACAGTCGCTCTTTGTATGTTTGTCTAGTATCTTGCAACCTTGTTTATTCTAGTAGTGTTGTGTAGAAGCCATTGGATTCTGCATGGACAATTGTGTTATCTTGGAATGAAAGTGGTTTTATTCCTACCTTTTCAACCTGGAAGCTTGTTTCTTTTATTGCCTGTTGCACTGACTAGAACCCCCAGTCCAGTGAATACAGTGATTAGGATGGACATTCGTGTCTTGTTCCTGATCTTAGGGGGACGCATTCAGTCCTTCTCCATTAGTTATGATGTCACCTGTAGATATTGCATAGATGCCCTATATGGAGCTAGAAAAGTTCTCTATTCCTAGTGTTCTGAAAATTTTTGTCAGGATGTTACACTTTGTCAAATGCTTTTTCTGCATCAAGACAATATGGCAAATTACATTGAGTGATTTTCAAACGTTAAGCCAGCCTTCCATTCCTGGTATAAACCCATTAGTCATGACTTTTGTACCTTTTGTGTACTGTTGATATCCTCTGTGTGGACATGATTTTGTCTCTCTTGGGCAACCACCTGGAAGTAGAGCCACTGGGTCGGAGGAAAGACCTGTTTGATAGTGCAGGCAGCAGCCAGGCTGCTCTCCGAGGTGGGCGGAAACCGTGTACACTCCCTCCGGCAGTGCAGGGAAAGTCCCAGTTGCTCCACGTCCTGAGCTACACGTGGGGGTGTGGATGTGTACAATGTCCCATTACCAAAGCTTTTTTAAAAGGTACAAACTTTCTGCTCTTCAAGTGACAACTGTGTGTTGCACAACCCCTAACACTTAATTTAACTGGTATTTGACTTTGCTTCTTTGGTTTAAGCTTCCATTATCCCTCATTAGAAATCACTGCTTGATTGTGTCTATGTGCAGGTGTGCACGCCCTCTTACACACACACACACACACCAGGCGGGCAGGCGCTTGGTCCAACTGCCTCAAATGTGCACCCATGGGTTCATGCCAGCTGCAAGACATCAGGCAAGCTTGTAAGCGCTCCTTGAACCCTCATATCTCGTTGTCAAGGTAAATTGCATCAGAAATGACCATAAGCATCACTTGCCTGTGTCACACCCATTTCCCCCCTAAAGCTTGGCAAACATTTTGTTAAAGGGTGAGATGGCACATATTTCCAGCTTAGCAGGCTACGCTTCCTCTGTCACAACCGCTCAACTGTGCCATTGTGCCACAGAGGCGACCACGGACTGGGCTTGGCTGTGTGCTAATAAAACTTTATTTACAAAACAAGGCCTGAGGGCCACAGTTTGCCAGTTGCTGCTAAAGTGGTCTGTAAACAGGTCTTCCAGGCCGGGAGATAGACGGCCTTGTCTGAGAACCTCTTACAAGGCTGGAGGATGGGTGGGCACAGGCATCCTGTGCTTGGGGAGCCAAGCAGCATACTGTCAGAACTGCAAGAGCTTGGGGGTGAAAGGGAAGCTGTTTGTACTTCTCCCAGCACAGGTGTGGGCCGTCCCAGCAAACCGAGATGCATGGTCACTGTTAACTACTGTTCATTAAGCACTCCGTGTGCCAGGCACTGCTCTACCTGCTTCACATGTAGTAATGTGTTCCTGTGCCCTCGACAGAGTTCTGTCCATTTTACAGAAGACAAACTGAGGCACACAGCAGTGAAGTAATTTGCCTCAGGACACACAGCTAGGATGGGAAATGCTGGTGGGTGTGCTCAGTCTGAAGCGGAGCCCATGTGTGTGCATGCTTGTGTGTGCCCCACGGGGTCCCCCCCTGGTGAGTGGCCTGCTGAGGGGTCAGCTCAGGCTGTGGGGTGGTGGGAGGTGGCCCAGAGCACAGCTCTTCTGAGCATGGGTGGGGAGCGGGAGCCACAGCCCCCCGTGTGGTGCTGCCCCGCCCTCTGCCTGTCCCCAGCCAGCCGTGGCATCCACGCACGGGGCAAGGGGCCATGCCATGTCCTGGGTGAGCTGTGCCATCCGCCCACCGACTTCTAATTAGACCTGCTGCTTTCGGTCTAGATGCCTCACTTCCTGCGCCCAGCCGAGGGTGGACGTGCTGCAGCAGCTGCGGGCTCCTGGGAGGTGGGCACCATGGGTGGGCTTTGCTCTGTCCCCTTGGCAGCAGCCAAGTGGTTTCTAGAGTGACACCAGACACAGGGCAATCTGTTCTGAGAATAAAGGGCTGACATAGGACACTGGAGCCTGTGCAGTGGGGCAGCCTTGTTTGTCCCCACATACCTAGGAGAGGCTGGTGTCGGGCTCAAAGTCTCCCCCACCCCACCCCAGAGGCTCAGGGCGGGGGGATGTGGCCTTCTCCCCACCCAGGCCCCAGTGCCCACACTCTGGGGTCAGCCTCCCAGGTCAGTGTTCAGGACAGGTGGGTGGCCTGCCCCTTGGCGTCCCCCAGAGGTCACCTGGGGCCACAAACAGAGCACAGGGACACCGACTGGCAGATGCTGTGAACATGACTGGGTGGTGGGGGGACCAGCTGTGGAGGAAGGCTCTCTGAGGAGGCATCGGAGTCAGACACGGGGTGAGGATGCATGGGCCTAGGGGAGGCAGGGCCTGGGCGGTGCAGTGGGGAGGAGGGCAGAGCCGGGGTGGGGGGGCCCAGGGCCCAGGGCAGCCCTCCGGCCTGAGGACAGGGGGTGAAAAGTCGCCAGCGGGTTCAAACAGAGTCGACGTGACATGTCTTAAAGGGGTTGCTCTGGCTTCACGGCCAGCGGACTGGGGCTCTGCAAACAAGGCAGGATGCCGGAAGTGGAGGGCTGTGCTGGTAGGTGGGCTGGCAGCCTGCCCTGGCCCTTGGCTCACAGCTCCCCTGAGCCGGATAAGGACCCCCGGAACCAAGACTCTGAGGCCCCGTGGTCTCTGGACTGCCCCCACCCTCGCTACCCCCCATTGGGAGGCACTGATGTCTGCCAACCCCAGGGCAGGGTGGAGGCCAGGGCTGGGGTCCCTGGTGGGCACCTTACCTTCCCCACAGCCCAAGCCCACACGAGCTGGCTGCACCCCAGAAACAACCAGCCTCACTGCCCTCCCCACCCCCAGCATGCTGGCCTAGGAGGTGAGAGCCCGGGTACCCCCGCCCCCAGAATCTGCTCACAGGGCCGGGGCCAGGGGCCCTCAGGATGACATGGCTGTTTTTCTCCGGAAACTTCTCTATTCCAAGTGCCAGCTAGAAACTGTGTGTCCTCTGCCAGCGACTGTGTCCCTGGCCTCCACTTCCTCTAGTGGCCCAGGGCCGGACACGCCCCGAGGGCACCTACCAGAAGGGGAAGGGGACTGGATGCCTTAACCGCAGCTCCAGGGCTTCACCCTCCTGCCCGCCGGTGCCCTTCGTGCCTGCTGCAGGAGACCCTCCCCAACCAGCAGGGAGGGGTTCCGGTGCCCTCAGGCACTGCAAGCTGGCCCCTCTCGGCCTGGGGCCGGCGGGTCCCTGACCCAGGAACCAGAGGTGCCTGCCGCCCTGCTCAGCCCACACAGCAGGGGCAACGTGGCCTGTGGCCCTGGTGCTCAGTGTCTGAGGCAGGGCTGTCACCTCCCTGGCACTGGGTGAGTTCTCTGGAGGTCCCTGAAGGGAGGTGCAGGGCCACGTCCTCGGTAGGGCCTGGAACTGGCCTGAGCTGGGGGCATAGCCACCTCCCTGCCATCTTGTCATGGAGCAGATGTGCCCAGGGGCGCCCATGTGGCCAAGCTCCCACACCCCCGGGGGTGCGGGCTCCTGGGCCTCTCGGGCTGCAGTGCCCACAGGGTGGGGTCACACTGTGCTCTCAGGTGGGCAAGGGAGCACATTTACCAGCTTTGAGGGTGACCACAACCCAGCCTCCCAGGGGCTCCCAGGGAACCCCACTCAGGCCATCGGCACCCAGAAGTAGACCATCCTGGCCCAGGAGACTTGACTCACACATGGGCCTCATCTCAGAGACAACCAGTCCCTTCTGGACAGGCACCTCTGGGCAGGGCCCCTCCCAGCCCCCCGCCCCTGGCTCCACCTTTAGATGGGTGTGCTGAACAGGCAGTGCGGGCACACCCCACCTCCCAGTTCACCACGCACCATCACATTGCCGCAGCTCAGTGTGGGAAACTACAAACCTATGGTGAGGCAGACACGCTTGTGCCTGGACGCTCACAGCCCCATGTAGCCTAGGTGGCTGTGGGCACTGCCCACGTTGGCTTCATCTGGGTACACACATGTGTTTCTGCTGAGCCTCTCCATGTGGACTAGACATCAAAATGTCCCCCCTGAGCAGACCCCTCCTGCCATCGCCCTGCCTCCCAGGCTCCTGTTTGTCCACTCAGGCTGTCAGGGGAGGGATCATCCCCAGGGCAGCGAGGGCGATGGGGGAGCTGCCCACCTGTGCCAGGAGGCAGGGACCCCCATTAGGGCCACAAGCCAGTGAACCCAGGCATCACTGCACCAGCCCCCACTGCACAGATGGGGACACTGAGGCCAGAAGGGGCCCTCCCTGAACATCCGGCCTTTGCCTTCCAGATCCCGAATGGGCCTCCTACACCCTGGGAGTGTTTATCTGCCTGAGCTGCTCTGGAGTCCATCGGAACATCCCCCAGGTCAGCAAGGTCAAGTCAGTCCGCCTGGACACCTGGGAGGAGGCCCAAGTGGAGGTATTGCACAGGACAGGGGAAGAGGAGTGAGGGTGGGCGGGCAGAGACCAGGTGGTGCCACTGCCCCTCTGAGTCATGGACCCCTCGATGGTCCCTTTGTGCCTGGTGCTCCGGGCTCTTGGCCAGGCCTCCTAGTGGCCTGCACTGCTCCTGTGCAGCTGCCCCATGCTGTGCATCCCATCCAGGGCTGGCACTACACCTGCCTCCCTCTCAGGAAGCTGCAGACTGAGAGTCAGTGAGTGATGGCCAGAGGGACGGCCAAGCCCTCCAGGCGCAGCTCCTGGATGGGGCCCTTGAACCCCAATACCTGGACTACCGAATACTCAGGAACACTGCATGGAGCAGTTCCCACCCGGATGGGCCCTCTTGTTCCAAGGGTTTGACCTCTAATCCTTGTGTGGAACCATGAGTGTAAGAAATGTCAAGATGCTCACCCACCTACCCACCCACCCATCCACACATCCGCCCATCCATCCATCCACCCATCCACCCACACATCTGCCCATCCATCCATCCACCCACCCATCCACCTATCTATCCACCCACCCATCCATCCACCCACCCACCCATCCACCCACACATCCACCCACACATCCGCCCATCCATCCATCCACCCATCTGCCCATCCATCCATCCACTCACCCACCCACTCATCCATCCTCCCACCCACCATCCACCCATCTGACCCATGTTCACTGAGTACTCATGGGAGGGCTGGTGAGGCGGCTGGCCCTGGAATGCCTTAGCTAGAGACAGGTGAGGAGCAGACACACAAGAGTGGTGGCTGGGCTGGGCAGCAGGGGGGGCCTTGTAGTGTAAATGAAGTTGTGAAGGGAGAGGGACAGGGCTCTGCAGGCTGCCCAGGTCCGGTGCAGGAGGGCTGAGGACTGGGGCGGAGGGGGTGGGCCCCTGGGGCTGCCCAGTGAGAGAAGATGTGGCCTGGAGGGCGGCTGCCTGGGGTGGGGGCAAGGCTGGTGGCCCATGGGCACACCCCACCGGAGACATGACCTTAGGGGCGTCGCCCTCCCTTGGGGGCTCGTGAGAAAGGTGGAGTCCTGGGCCCCCCAGGGGCAGAGGGGCGCTGCTGAGCCTGCCTTCCGCTCTGTAGCTACTCAGAGGCACGGAGGGGATCTGGGCGCAGGCGCTGGACCGCCGACGGGAGTAGCGCGCCCGCCCTGACTTCGAATCCCTCCGGAGTACCTTCCCAAGCAGCTTTAGCGGGGTGCAGGCCAGCTGTGCCGCCGCTCTCCTGCTGAGGTGCTTTGTGGATGCCAGGGTGCAGCCGCTGTTGGTCAAAGCCCGCGCCCAGGCCTGGAAGGCACTCTGCTCTCTGTCCCCAGCACTTTGCCTCATATGGGCACTGACGTCTACGGGCCGCCGCGCTGCACCTCCGTGCGCCCCACTCTCCTTCCCGCGTGGGTGTCGGCGCACAGGGCGCCTGGATCGCCTCCTGGGGAGCCCCGGCACCGGCGGGCTCAGGACAGCGGCCCGTCCGCGGCCGCCTTGTGGCAGGTGCTCCCTCAGCGGACAGGGCGGCCCCTTGCGAGGACAGCTGCGGCTTACGAACGGGCCCCTGGACAGGCGCTGCGGGCGGGCCTTTCCCGTGCCACGCCAGCCTGGCAGCCTCGCCCGCGAGCAGGTTGCCAAGCAGAGGCCCTGCGGCTGGGGCGCATGGCCCGAGGCCACGTGGCTGCCGGTCTGGGCAGGTTGCGGCCCACTTGCCATGGTTCAGCCTTCCCCGCGGGCGAGGGCGCCCGTCCACACCCCTGCCGGCCTGGCTCACCTGCACCTTCCCTTGCTGCGAGGTGCAAGCTTGTGTCACTGCTGAGCTTTCATTGTTCTTGTCTCACCCCGAGTGGCGTTGGGCATCTTGTGTCATGCTTGGGGTCATTCGTGTTTCGCTTGGGGTCATTCGTGTTTCCCTCCCTGTGGCCCTCCTCTGCACCCCCCCGGGGCCCTGAGTCCCTACGCGGGGTGTCTTGCCCTCCAGATGTGTGTGGAAGGCGGCTTTTCTGGGGTGTCTCACTTCGCTCATGGTGGTTTTGGCAGTGGAAACTTGATGCAAACGTCTGGACCGCTCCTTCTGTGGCTATAGGACCCCCAGATAGGCCTGCTCTGCCAAGGATGATTCTTACTCATGAGGGCTTTATGGAGTTGTAAGGCGCACACCCCGGACTCACCTCTTCACAGCGTACAGCTGAGGAGTTTCTCATACATTCAGAGCCACGCGGCTGTCAGCACTGGGCGATTGCAGAATGTTTTCATACCGCAAATACCCCCGCACCTGTGAGCAGCCCTCCCGTTTCCCCTCAGCCCCCGCGGAGAGTGGACAGGTCAGCTTTTCCCCTGATGGATTTGCTGCCCTAGAGCATCACATCTGTGCAGTCAGACCACACGGGCCTTCTGAGCTTTTTTCCCTCACGAAGCATGATGCCAGGGCCCATCCACGTGGGGGCAGGTGTCAAAGCTTCCTTCTTAGGGCTCGTTTCCCCTTGTGGGGGGACCTGTTTTGTCCATTCACCAGCGGACGGACACTGAGGTTGTCTCCAGCTACTACGGATGGCGCGCAGGTGTTTGCGCGGACGTGTGAGTGGAGCTGCCGGTATACGGGGATGCTGAGTCTTACGTCTTCCCTCCAGGCATGCACAAGCCCCGTTGCACCTCGTGCTCAGCAGCATGTCTGTCTTTGGCTCCAGCCATCCTCCTGGGTGGAAGGTGGTGTCTTCCTGTGGCTTTGATTTGCATTCCCCTGGCGGCTTATGACACAGAGCATCTTTTCAAGTGCTTCTCAGCCATCTGCTTATCTTCTTTGGAGAAATGTCCATGGAGATACTTCACCCGTTTTAAGAGAGGGTTGTTCTTTTTATTATTAAATGAGGAGTTTTGTTATTAAAAGAGTTCTTTACAGATCCTGGATGCAAGTCCCTTATGAGATATAGTATTTATGAAGTTTTTCTCAATCTGTGAGTTACCTTTTAACTTATTTTAAAATAATATTTTTTAAAATGTCAAAGCACAGTTTATATGAGCTCTTTGTGTAATTTTTTATTGAGGTGAAATCACATCACATAGCATCCACCATTTTAAAGTGAATACTTGAGTGTCACTTAGTGTATTCACACACGTTTCCAGTCCCCCACCCCCGTTCCTGGTCACCCCTGGGGCCACCCATCTGCTTCCTGTCAGGATCCGTCTGTTCTGGGCACTGAAATGCCTGGAACCTACACTGTGTGGCCTCTCAGCCCCAGTTTTTAGGCTCATCACACCTTCCCGCTTTCTTGTCAGTGTCCGTCAAAGCACAGAAATTTCAGATTTTGGCAAATGTTCCATTTGGTGTTTTTTCTTTTGTTGCTTCTGCTTCTGGTGTCACAGTCAAGAAACCATTTCCTAATCAAGAGTCATGACGATTTACTTGTAGATCTTCCTAAAAATAATTTTTTTATTATCGCATGATTTTTATCCACTACTTTTATTGTTCAGTTTTGGAAATCAAATGGTTAGCTTAATTGGAGTTTACTTTGTTTATTAGGATGTCGTCTCCAGCTCAGCCTTTTCTCTGGGGTTCCCAGCTTCCTGACCCTACTGATCACCCACCAATGGGCATTCCCCACACTGGTGTGAGGTGCTAATGTGTCCTCACACGTCTGTGTAATACTGGATCCGACATCCTATTGACTTTGCTCCACGGAGGCAGGCTTTCTGTTTACAATAGCATCATGACAGGTTTCAGCATCAGGTAGGAAGACTCTTCATTCTCAGAATTTGTAGGATATTCTTGCTTGTTAATTTTAAAATGAGCTCTAGGAATCATTGCTAGCTTTAAAAAATTCTACTCGTTTTGTTTGTTTTCTTGAGAATCGCAAAAAATATGTGGGCCGTCATGAGGAGAGAGCAAGTTCTCCATCTCCCTTCCCAGGTCTTTGTTCAAGGGCCCGCTGGCACCTGTCAGGAGTATGCACGCTTCTGAGGCCACCTGTGGTCCAGCCCTGTCACCCCCCACCCTGCCCCCATGCGCTGAGGCCATGCGTGGGTCAGGCCTTGCTGGCCACCCCCTGCTCCCCTCCTGGCTGACTGGAGGCATGCTCCCCCAGGGCCTTTGCTGTCTCCGTGCAGGACACCCTCACAAACTGCTCCAGAGCCCGCCCCTGCCCACCCTTCTTCCCACACTGTCTTGGCCCATCTCCCATTCCTGATGTCTGTGGTACATCTGCTATAAAGGGACACAAGCCTGTCTGGTGGGTTTGGGTCTCTAGGCCCTCCTGGTTCCTGGCAGGTGTGAGACACTCACTGGAGTCAGGTCACCACATGCACCAGCCAGGCCACATGAGACTGAGATGGGGTGTCACGAGCGTGGGCTCCCCCCGACCCTCTCCAGGCCCCTTTCTGTAGGGACGCAGGCCCCTCCAAGAGCCCAGCCTCAGCAGCTGGCCGTGTCCTGGGAACAAGAGGGGTCTGGGAGTCCCCTACCTCAGCTCTCAGGGCTCTGACCCACCCTCTCTCCTGCAGTTCATGGCCTCCCACGGGAACAACACTGCCAGAGATACATACGAGTCCAAAGTCCCCCCCTTCTACTACCGGCCCACGTTTTCTGACTGTCAGTAAGTAACAAAGGGGCTTTGTTGGGGTCACTGGTAAACAGCGCTGGCCCCTGGCATCCAGCCTTGGGCCACAGCTCCAGGCGGCTGGAGGACCCCTGGGGAGGGTGAGGGCTGCCCCCTGGCAGCTGGGCAGGTGGGCCTGGCCGAGTCCCCAGGAGCCCAGAGCCGGGGCCACACAAGGGCACAACTCCCTGCCAGCACCCACCCTGCTTGGTCTCGGCTTTGGGTGGCAGCCAGTGGCTGGAGGGAGGGGACGGGGCAGTTGGCAGCTAGTATCCCCACCACGGGGTCTCTGAGTGGGCCCCCAGGGCCGTCATGGTGCCCCCAGGTGGTTGGGATGCTGCTGAGAAGCCCCTGTTGTGTGGCTTAGGGCTTAGAGGGCAGGATGTGGGGACAGGGTGGCACCTGTCACCCACAGGGCGCCTGGCATGGGGAGGGCCAGCTTGGGAGGCCTTGCACCTCTCCTAACCTCTCTGACCCGGGTTTCCGTCTGCCCACCCGTGGGTACCACCAGGGGCCTTGCATCCCTGCGCTGGTGGTGGACCTGGGTTCCCACCCCGATGCTCTCCTGGCGCCTCCCCTTCCAGCCCCGGCTGGAGGCCCCGGCCCTGTTTGCAGGCAGGTCCTACCGCAGTGCCCTGCCTCCTCTCCTCCGAGGACCCCTTCTCTCCTCCGGCTGCTCAGGGCATGCAGAAAGGCTGATCGCTTTCCTCCTGGGGCCTATGGCTGGGGCTCCTCATGGAGGGAAGGGGGCCCAGATTCTCTTCCTGATGCCCAGCACTGGAACCTGTGGGGTTCCAGAAGGCAGGGGCATGAGCGAGGGGCCGTGGACCTGGGTTCTTGGGGAGGGGCCTTGGGGCAAGGCTGGGACCCCAGCTAGCATGGAGCAGCTGCCCGTTGGCAGAGGAAGGAGGGCACATGCCCACCCAGTGTCTCCTGATCCTCCAAGAGGGGCTCCTGGGGCCTCGTCCAGCTCACCTTCCTCTCTGGCTGTCGCTCTAGCCTCTCCCTTCACATCCCGGAATGGCGACCCCTCCAGCCCTTCTGAACCCCCGGCCTGTGCTCCCAGACCAGGATTGGCCCTCAGGGCCCCTGCTCTGCTGCCAGTGTCCACAGCCGCTCAGCTGCAGCGTGAGGTAGATGACCCTTAAATCATACCATGCAGGCCCTCTGTTGGAGGGCGCTCCTGAGGCCCCGGGGATTGAAAGACTTTCCACGAATGACACAGGTCCAGTGGGGCGGTCAGAGCAGAACTCGGGAACTCATCTCCATGACAGGTGGGCAGCTCACCTGACGGGCCCCTCCCCTGTCCTGGGCCCCCTTCCACCCACTATGGGCATGCCTGGGACTGCCCCAACCGCATGGCCCCAGCCTCTCTGGGCTCCCAGGGAACTTTGGCACCCAGCCCCGCCTGCCGGCTCGGTATGAATCAGCAGGGCCAGGCTATTTCTGAGACATGGTTTTATCCCAGGCCACAGGCTGCTCTGTGGTCTGGGTTATTTGCATGCACACCCATTTGAGACCATGTCTTTGGGGACACTCAGTAGGTCCCCGTCCCTGCAGCATGCTTTTGCGGGGCCTTCCCAGTGGCCAGGCAATCTGGGAGGGAGCAGTCCCTGACTCCTGGCAGGCCGCACCTTCTGGAAGCCTCCTCCAAAGGAAGGCTTGTAGAAGGCCACCACTGACCTCTCACACAGCAGGCCCTCAGGTCGTCCAGGCCAGGCCCAAGCAGATGCCGGGGTGTGCGGTCCAGGGAGAAGCCTCTCCCAAGGCTGGTATCAACAGGGAGAGTCAGTGATGGGACAGGGGGTGAGAGGTGACACATGAGCTCACGCAGAGAGCCCTGCAAAGGCGGAGATGGAAGTCGGGAGCAGAGGAAGGGCAGGAGGTGTGGTTTGAATCCCCTTGTAAACTCCAGGGTGCTTGAGCCAGGCACCGTGCAGGTGCCATGGTCTCCAGGGCAGCAAAGGCCCCTTGTCCTCGGTTTCCCCAGCTGCTCCCAGGTGTTGGGATGAAAGGCAGTGTGGCTGGAGTCTGGCCAGAGTGAGTTCTCTGGACGTTTGGCCCCCCGGCTCCCTCCTGCCAGACAGGCCCGTGGGGGGCTGGGATAAGGAAGGGTGTAGGCTCTGAGGGCGCAGCCACGCGGCCACTTCTGGCAGCTCCCTTCCTGTGTCACCCGCGCCCTGGGTTTCGATCCTGACACCGAGGAAAGAAAGCTGCAGGGCCTCCTCTCGGTGTGATTCTGATGGAAACCCGCCCCCCTTGGCTTCCTGTGTGCTCAGCGAACCTCCTGGGTGGCAGAGAGCCTGTGGGCGCCTGCATGTCCGCGGCCCTGCTGAGAGGGCTCCACAGTGATGAAGCCCCACAGACCCCCTGCTTACAGCTGGAGCGGAAGCCAGCCCCCCGCCCCGTCCTGAAGCTGGGAGCCGAGGTGCAGGTGTGCAGGGCGGGTCCCCGGGAATCTCCTCAGCGTTTTGTCATACGGTCGCCCCTCAGTGTGTCTGTGGCTGGACTTGCCCTCTGTAAGGGCACGGGTCAGACTGCAGGATAATATCTTATTATCTGCAACCATCTTTCCCAAATCAGGGCCAGTCTGAGGTCCTGGGGGTTAGGACTCCAAAATGTTTTTTTGGCGGGATGAAGGTACAAAATTCAACCCATAACAGCCTCAGAAATCACACAGATGAAATGATAGCTCAGGTTTGCCTCGGGCGGGGGTGGAGGGGTGTGGGACAGGCAGAGACTGAGGCCAGCACAGGAGGCCTGGGGCTTCACCCCACAAGGGTCTGTCCCCACTGCGCTCTGTGGAGAAAGGAAAGAGCTCCCTGGGCCAGCTGCTCACCGCGTGGAAGATCAAGTCCCAAAGGGTCCCATCCCCTGAAGGGAAGTCCATCCTGGACCTCTGGTGGGTGCCCATAGCCCTGCTTGGAGGCTGGCCGAGTGCTGGTGGTGGCCGCTGGATGCCAGCACCTGGCATGGTGAGCCGGCACAGCCGTGTGCTCTGGCCTGGGCGGGTGTCACTGCCCCGGGCCTTGTCTCCTGGCCACGGAGACTTCTGACCTGCTGCATCACGACCGCCCTGGTGAGCTGGCGCTCCTCTCTGCTGCAGCCCCAGGGTGCCGGGACACTGCCCTGTCCCCTGAGGCCCTGGCCTGCAGGCACCCAGCCTCTGGCGATGGGTGTGTGGGAAAGGGCGCTGGCCGGTGGGACATCACTCAGTCTCGGGGGCAGGGATGTTGGCAGACCCTCAATGCGCTGGCTGGGGACTCTGCAGCAGTCCTGCCTGCAGACCTCACACCCTGTTCCATTTAAGGAGATGGGCCCCCATGAGCATCTGTGATGGGAGGCGTTCAGGCCAGAGGCTGGGGGAGCGGCTGACACACAGGGTTGTCCTTCTGGAGTGATGGGATGTTCTGGAACTGGGTGTGGGTCCTTTGGGCTGCTGCATCCAGCACACTAAGAGGGTGGCTTTCACGGTGCGTGAGATACACCTCAGTGTTCAGCAAGGGAGGTGCTGGGTGGTGACTCCTGAAATCAAAGCTGGTGACCCTCAGCCCCGCCCTCTGGAAGGTCGGGAGTCTTCCCTCCCAGCGGCTGCAGGATCGCTGTGCTCTCTCCCTAGCCTCCTGAGGGAGCAGTGGATCCGGGCCAAGTATGAGCGGCGGGAGTTCACCCACCCCGAGAAGCAAGAGCCCTACTCTGCAGGTAAGGGTGGTGGGGGTAGGGGTGGACATGGCCTCGGTGCAGCTGTCTGTGTCTCTCTGTTCCTCTCCCTCTGTGTATGTCTCTCTCTGTCTCTCTGTCTCTGTCTCCATCTCCATTTCCCTCTCCTGGACCTAGTAGACTTATTAAGGACCTGGGTGACTGGCGAATCGGTCTGACCCTGGGTCCAGTCCATGTGGCCTTCTGACATGGAGGCAGGCAAACTGTGCTGAGACCCCGCAGCAGTTCGCAGCCCAGCTGGGGCCGGGTGCTCCTTGCTGGCAGGGGAGGTGCCTCTGCTCTGGGATGGCCTGCGGACTGAGCAGTCCAGGTGAGAGGGGTGTGAACAGGAGGCACCCAGTTAGGGGCCGAGAGGGTGCACCATGCAGATGGATACAGTTGGGTGGCCAGGACCGTGGATTTCTGCTGCCAGGAGCAGACACCTTTTCTGAGCATGAAGCCATCAGCCAGGGTGTGACTCGACACGAGGTGGCCCCACCAGCTCACCCCTCCACTGGGCTGGCTCCACAGGGGCAACTGCTTCCTGTGCTCATGGGCTGTGAGCCAGGGCCTCTGGCAGCTGGCGTCCCTGGCCTCGCCCCCTCCCAAGTGCCCCTCCCTCACTGCTCCCTGTATGCCAGTGTGCAGCCAAACTCCTTGCTGTGCCTTAGGCCCTAAGGCGAGGGGCGGGGAGAGCGAGCATGTGGCTCTGCCCGTCAGACCGGTGGGGCAGGTGCACCCCAGAGCTCCTGACTCCCAGGCATGAACATCCAAGCAGTTCATGGCAGTGTGGGCTCAGAGGTGGGTGTGGGCTGGGCTGACATAATGACATCCCCTAGTTACGTCAGGACACTGCTGGTGACAGCAGAAATCAGACTCAACTAAGGCATAAGGAAGATGGAAATGGATTTCTGGCTTCAGGCACAGCTTGATCTGGGGGTTGTATGTTATCCAAACATGCCTCTGCCTCCTGGTTCTGCTTCCCTGCGTCAGCATCAGCCCTCTTGGTGGCAGCTCATCCTAGCAGGTCCAGTTTCTGTCCCCTCATTCAGGTTCTTGGAGAAGCGAGGCAGCAAGTTTCACGGACATGTCGGGAAAAGCCTGGTCTGACTGGTCAGGGCTGGGCTGGGCCAGTCACCAAGACTGGGAGATGTGACATGTGCCTGCCTGTGGAACCCGAGTGGCCCTCCCAACAGAAAGTGGGGTGTAGGGCCTAGAAGCTGAGGTACACACAGGGTGGCAAAGCTACAGGGGTCCTTCAGGCACTGGGAAGGAGGGGAGCTCTTTGCAGGCACGTTTGGACACGAGCTCCAAGCGCTCACTGGGCTGGGCCAGGCCCCCTGCCCACCTCCACCATCAGAGGCCAGAGGCAGAAAAGACCCACCACGGGTGCTCCCTTTCCAGGCCTACAGCTCCTGTTCCTCCAGAGAAATGTCCCCAGCACTTCCCCTGAGATGCCAGGCGAGGGGACAGAGGGGTGTCCTACAGGAGGGACAGGGGTCCTCACAACACGGGTTCACATGACCCAAGTGGGACTGGCCCTCTCTCGGTGCCTCTGCCAGCTCACCGGGCATGTGGCCACCTCAAGATGTTGTCCCGACCCACTGGATGTCATGGGGGTGCTAGTGGGCTGCAGCATGCCAGCCCTTCATGCACGTGGGCATCAGACCGCATGCCCACCACCCATGCAAAGGTGAGGACCCTGGGGGGCGGGGCCCTGCAAGGACGTGAGGGCTTCCCAGGCCTGAACTGGGCCTGATGACCCAGCGAGGGTGGGCCGCCAGCCTCTGGTCCCTGGGCGGTGCTTCCTCCACCTTGGCAGCCCTGGGATACATCTGCTCCCCAGAGGAGGCGGGCGGTTTGGGGCCCTCCGGCCACCATGTGCTGTATCCACCCCTCCACCTGGTCCCAGCAGCCTCTGCAGCTCTGGCTACGAGGGCGCCCCTCAGTGGAGAAGACCCTGGCCTCAGGCCTGCCTCATGGGGCAGCAGCTGCGCCCTGGGCAGAGGCTCTGAAGGAGGCTCCCCTACTCCACCCTTTTTAAGCCCTGTCAGTGCCGCAGCCTCAGCCAGAATGTTCCTGCCTGTGCTGTCCCACTGCTTGCCAAGCCCTGAGATTTGGAGGAACAGAATCCTGGTGTGTGCAGGCCCTGGGGCCATTGGCTGGCCCTTTGCCTCCCCTGGGCCCTCACCAAGCCACCCTAGGAGCAAGGGCATTGGTCCGAGGGCCCCAGCTGCTGGGGTGCCCTGGCAGGGGTCTCAAACAGCCTGTAAACCTCAGGGCTTGTGGCAGGGGCCTCCCGCCCCCCGCCCTGAACCTAAGGGCCCACACATGCCCTTCTGGCAGGGAGGGCAGCATTCGGGGAGATGGGGCTCCACCCCTACACAGCGTCTGTCAGAGCCTCTAGACCCGAATCCTGCCCAGCACTCAGCGGGTGGAGGAGCAGCAAATCCCCAGTGCCTCCAAGCCCCTCCACCAGCCGCGGTGTGCCATCCCCAGACTTGTCTCCAGACCCGGGTCCTTCCTCCAGGGCCCCTCCCCAGGCCACACGGAAGAGCACCAGGGGATTCCCATGGACACTTCCTGCCCTGGCTCTCGGTTTGCCACAGAGCCCTTTCTCACACAGAGGGGCCCACTCACCTGCCAGCCACCATGCAGAAGTCGGGGTGTCCAGAAGGAAGGGGGAACACAGGCCTGGGAAAGGCCAGGCACCCTGTGCAGACAGGCCTGAGAAAGGGCTGCCCGTGGGCTGGGCCCTCCCAATCCCACACAGCAAGCCAGCCTGCCACTCCCCACCTCCCAGAGGACAAGCCCACCACCGGCTTGCCACTTCCGGCTGCCAGAGCTGGGCAGCGGGCACAACACAGTGGCTAGCGGGGCTGCAGGGGCTGACCCAAGCTGGCGCCCTGACCGAACTGGGGCAGGGGCTGCTCTTTGTCACAGGGTCCCTGATGAATGAGGAAGGTCATCCTCTCGCAGGTACCACGCAGACCACGTGGCAGACCACGTGGGTTCTCAATCCTGGGTGAAGGCTAGAGTGGTGGGGTTGGCATGTTTCCTGAGCACTCCCCAGATGCTTATGGGGATGAGGAAAGGGCGGAAACATCCTGGGGGGCCACCAGCAGCCCCCTTCTCCAGGGGAAAGACCACAGCGTCACCCTGTGCATGGCCGCCTGGCCGAGGGGCATGGCCTCCGTGGGCTGCGGGCCTGCAGCAGAGCCACTGATCAGCGCTCTGGAAGGGCCTGGCCCGAAGCGGAAGGCAAGATGGAGAGACCCTGTGTGTGCGGGAGAAGTAGGCTATGCGGCGTGGTCCACACGCACCCTCAGGCTGAGGGGCGTTAGTGGCAGGGGGTGGGCCAGATGATTAATGGTGTTGTCCCAGACGTGTGCCCTGGGTTCCAAGTGTGTGGCGCCCGGGGACCCCACTGGTCACTGCTGGCACATCTGAGCACTGCCAGGTCAAGCAGGATCTGGCCCGCCCCCCCATGGCCAAGTCTCACAGGGCTTGTGGGGGATGGGGATGGGGGAAAGGCACAGGGCCCTGGGCTCCAGCGGACCCCAGACACACAGGGCCAGCCTGGCACCATCTCCTGTGCTCTGAGCTGCCGCCCTTGGCCAAGGTCACAAATGTGTGAGAGGCGCCCACACCCTGCCTGAGATAACAGGGCCACTGGACGAAGCCAGACCCCCACCCGCCCCACCCAGGCCCTGCTCCGGGCTCCGGGCTCCCTCCCCACACCGTCCCGCCCCGAGCTGGAGCCTCAATGGTGGCCTTTCACCAGGGGGACAATACCCCTTGTGTCCAGAGGGCCGGGCTGCCTAGGCCGCCCCCAGTCACCGGCAGACACAGTACTTCCTGCTGTGAGGGACTCCCCTCTCCCTGCCTCCTCCCAGCGGCCCTCCTGAGATGCTGTGCAGAGCAGCAAACCCACCCCCACCTTTGTCCTAAATGCTGTAGGGTAAGCAGAGCCCTCGCAGGGCAGGTGGGGCCAGGCGCTCCCTGGGAGATGACAGCCCACCCTCCCACCTCAGTTTCCCCACCTGTGTGTCAGGTTGGTGGTGGAAGACTTACCTGATGCCAGATGCAGTGGCACCCCAGGGTGGCTGATGGGTTGGTGAGTGAAAGTGCTGGGGGTGTGTCTGGAGGTGGCGTGTGGCCACCTCCACCGTGGAGAGCTGAGCAGGTGCCCCACCTGCCAGCAGTTTTCCACGTGGGGCCAGCATTTGCTGCCCTTGCCCCTGGAGTCTGTGTGGGTCTCAGGGTTCAGGGCATGTGGAGTGGAAGGAGGCCCCACCTCAGCCCTGCCAGGTGCCTGGGGTGGGCTTGTGTGGCGTGCTGCAGGGCATCACAAGGGCAGACTTGGCCCTGGGGAGCACCTGCAGCCACCTCCCTCCCTGGGACAGGACTTGGCCACCGGGCGACCTTGCCGATCAGGTAGGGCCTCTGGGCCCTGGATTCTGGTGCTTGACCTGGGTAATCCAGTGCCCAGTAAGGGACCTGCAGGCCAGAGCCCTGCCCCTGCTCCAAGCCCAGGGCCCACCCACAGCTGCTGCCGAGTGGCCGAGAGCCCACGGCCCACGTGGGGAGCACCCTGGCATCACCTGGACCTCAGACTGCCCAGTGAACCAGGCCGAGAAGCAGCCCCTCCCCCAGCCCACCCTGGGTCCTGGGTGCCAGTCAATGAGGGCAGGGGTCAGCTGCCCTGGACAGCCCACGTGCTTGCACACACATCCATGCTCACGTGTGTTCATGTGTTCACGTGCCATTTGCAGCCATGAGTCAGAGCCAAACATTTGCTGTCCTGGGCGCTGGGCACCAGGGGCTTGTAGTGGGCCAGCACAGTGTTCCTGCTCCAGCCAGGCCCTCACCCACTGCCCTCTGGCCTATCCCTGTTGACCTTGACTATTTCAGCCAGAATATCTGGGGATCTGAGGTGGGGCGTGCCAGGGCCTAACTAGTGTGGGTGATTTCTGTGGTTGGGAGAGGCTCTTTGGACAGTGCCCCTGGGTGGGGCTGAGCTCACAGGGGGACAGGAGGGAGCAGTCAGCCCCCCAGGGCTGGGCCTGTCCCAGGCTCGCAGACATGGCCTCTGACTGGCAGCCATGCCGACAGGGTGTGGCTGCTCTGCTCTGGACCCCGCATCAGCCTCTTGAGGAATAGAACCTACAGGCCCGGATGCCAAATCCCAGCCCTCTGGGGAGGCAGCTGATGGGCATGGCCCAGGCCTCAGTTTTCCTCAGTGCCTCCCTAGGCCATGGGTCTATGGCTGGAGGACACCCACTGGGCATTGCTCAGGCAGAAGCCACAGGCATGGGGCTCTTCTCCCAGCCTGGGAAGGCCACCCAGGGCCTGGGCACAGAGCACCCTGCCAGCTCTGTGCAAGGCTACACAGTCCCCGCCCCAGATAGAACAAGGAACGTGTAACTCACATGGGGATGGTGTGATCTCAGCTTAGGTACTGATGCAGGGTCCTGTCCTAAGAGCTACAACAGAGGCATTCCCCAGAGCCTCTTCCTGCCGTCTTTGGCAGGAACCAGCATGTGGGGCCTTTGACTATGGGCTTTCGCTCAGCACATCACATCACACGGGTAGGATTGGCCACTGTGGGGTCTGCGGTGCACTCCTAAGCAGAGTTCCGTTGTGCAGTGGGGTCACATTCAACTGGCAGTCAGGACAGCCACTGTGTGAAGGCACATGCCAACAGTTTGCATTTCTCTCCAAGTTCACGTGGAGAGCGTACCTCATCTTTACCAGAAATCGCTGATGGGAGGCACCCATGCTGGCTTGGCTGCTCTAGTCTGGCCATCTCGTGGGTGTGACTGTCTCGTGGGTGTGGCGTGGTGTTGCATCCCCACAATGCCAAGTCCCCTATACTGACCCCAGGCGCACACCACCGGAGTGCTTTCTGAGAGGCCATCTGGCCCCTGCCCCAGCCCCGGCCAGCCCTTGGGGAGAGAAAGGCCACTCGTGGCTCAGCCGGGCTCCCGGTGAGGACCAGGCTCCACTGCACTGTCTCACCCCTCTCATGGGCCCCGTTGCAGGCACCTCAGGCCTGGGCAAGTCTCTGGGCCCTCGAGGCTGCGGGGCTGAGGCAGGGGCTTCCCTAGCACAGCGGAGGGGCCCGTGGCCCAGAGGGCTGGGCATGGCAGGCAGGGGCCTCCCGGTACAGGGAGTGGGCTGGTCGGGGCCACAGCAGAGCTGGACTGAGAGCACAGTCAGCTGGGGTGTGGGCTCTGCACGCCACCGACCTCAGGCCGGGCGCCAGATGCGTCCACAGCAGGGGAGAGGCGGCCAGCCTGGCCAGCGTCCATCCAGAAATACCACTGCCGCAGAAATACACCTGCCATTCGGTATCCCAGTGGCTTGCTCTCCAAAAGCATCCCATCTGGGAGCCAGACCGGGTGAGGGCATTTCCCTCCCACCCATAACTCCCAGTTCTGGTCTGCAGGCTGGAGCAAGCAGGGCTCTGCTGCCCCCTGCTGGGCCCCACAGGCAGGGCAGGCCGGCCACCAGGACCCGAGCAGTTGCTTCTCTCAGATGCTCCAGGAGGATGCTCCTGGGATCCTGGGATTAATGGCACGGTGGGTACTGGTGGGTGCTGGGCGCTGGTAGACTGTCCCTAACATCATTACTCTGCTGGCTCCAAAGAAGCTGCAGGCTGGGTGCTCCTTTGTGTCCACCCTCAGCCAACAAGGGGTCCAGGGAGGCTGACCTTGGCCCACAGTCAAATGGACTTCCAGCTTTGCATGGCCGAGACGCCATGCAGTCAGTCACAAATAGGGCCTGGCCTGGGCTGGGGCACACGGAGGGGCTACACCTGCTGGTGCTGTGGTGGGGACAGGGTATCCCACAGACCCTGTGTACAGGCCTCCTGGCCACCAGAGAGGCTGAGACGCCACTTGGCACTGTCCCACGACTGGCCAAGGTGCCAGCTGCCCCCTCTGGACACCAGGCTGCACCTTTTTATGGCTGCATCTTGAGAGCAGAGAAACAGCCCATTGTCTCTGTGTTGGTTGTTGGCTTCGGGGTTGCCCAGGGAGCCAAGAGGAGGCAGAGGTCCACCCAGTTGTGAAGTCCGAAACGTGAGCTGGCACAGCTGTCAGGGTCTGGGGCTGCTGCATGAGGCCCAGCTGTGCCACCCCACGTGAGCTGCGGGGGCTGTCCCCAGAGAGCTCAAAACCTGGGGAGAGGCAGATACAAAGCTGCTGGGCAGCTTCTGCTGGAGCCTGTGGCCCCTGACTGTGACCCCAATTCTGCCCTGGGATGTGCCAAGGAAAGCGGGGTGCTCTCCAGAAGACAAGGTCATGCCAGGCACAGCAGAAGTGCTCATGACCACTGAGAACCGCTAGCAGCCAGCTGTCCATCTGCAGCTCTGCTCCCGCATGGTGCAGGGTCTCTGAGAAGTGTGGCTCCAGGCAAGAGCACAGCCAGGTCCCTGTGTGCGGTGGCAGAGTGACAGGGCAGCAGGGGGATGAGGGGGAAGGGCAGACACAGTATGGAGCACCCTAGGAGTGGCAGCGTCCCCCTGGGGGACTGAGTCCCCACCTGCTGCTGCCATAGCTGAGCACGAGTACCATGGAGGCTGGTCACAGTTCTGGGGTCCAAGCTCCAAAGTGAGGCATTAGTCGGGTGGGCTCCCTGCAGGGCATATCACTGCCGTTTCCCCAGGATTGTGGCTCCCCTGCCTCATGAGGACCTGCCTGACAGTCGGGGTGCTCACCTGTCCTCAGACCCATCTTCATACCCCTAAGTCCCGGCACCGTCCAACGGGCCATCCAGGTGCTGAGTACAGCTCTGCCTGGCACAGTGGCGCTTGGACGTCTGCCTAATAACGGCCCACAGGCCAGCACTGACGCCATGTTCGCTGTACCCCCAAAAAGACAAAGGAGGGGAAGCAGCAGACCAGCACCTGTGGGGACCCCCAGGCCCAGGGCAGCTCCGACACCCCAGGGCAGGATGGCTGCTTGCCGCCCCCACCCTGCACGGGCCGGGACATGGCTCCAGCCCTGGGCCACCGCACCCCTCTGACTGTGTGCCCCTGTCTCCCCAGGATATCGAGAGGGCTTTCTCTGGAAGCGTGGCAGGGACAACGGGCAGTTTTTAAGCCGGAAGTTTGTGCTGACGGAACGAGAGGGGGCCTTGAAGTATTTCAACAGAAACGACGTGAGCCAGGCCGGGCAGTACCCTGCCTTCCTTTGGGGGCTTGTGGGGGTGGGACGTGGCCATGCCATACTGCCGTGGCCTCAGCCGCCCTCATGCAGTTTCCGGGGGCCCTCCGTCCACTGCTGCCCCAACCCCGGGGACACCCCCGCCCACCGCTCCATCGCCGCCCCTGGGGCTGGGCTGTTTCGGGCAATGCTGGGGCAGAATGGCAAGCACTCTCTGGTGGGCGCTCCCGGTCCTGAGTGGCAGGGGACTGGCTGCTGTCAGCGGTCGCCTCCTAGCAAGCACATGTTGAGGAGACCCTGGGCCCCCCAGGCATCATGTGGGAAAGGGCAGAGGGTTCTGAAGCTGGCCAAGAGCCTCCCACCCAGACCAGCTCCAGGTCAGAACGTGGCCCGGCGGGGCAGCCCATAGGCCTGCAGGGCGGGGCGCTGGCACAGGGCAGGCCAGACAGCACCTGTCTGCTGAAGCCCACGGGACTCTGCCTCCCAGTTAGAGCCTCCCTCCTCGTGTCCTGGGAGGTGGGGTGTGGCCTGAGACTGAGACCCGGAAGCCCAGCCGAGAGAGGATGCATAACTTGTCCAAAGACACACAGCACACCTGCCCCCTTGCGCCTGGAGGCTCCCTGCCCACCAACCTGAGGCCTGACCCCGCTTCCCAGGCCAAGGAGCCCAAGGCCATCATGAAGATCGAGCATCTGAACGCCACCTTCCAGCCAGCCAAAATCGGCCACCCCCACGGCCTGCAGGTCACTTACCTGAAGGACAACAGCACCCGGAATATCTTTGTCTACCACGAGGACGGGAAGGTGGGTGCGAGGCTGGGCGCAAGCCGGGAAGCAGCGGGGGGCGGGGCTGGTGGGGGGATGAGTGGGCAGCCTGCCCCAGGGGCCGCAGATGTGAGGATGGGAAGTTGGGTGTGGGGTTGGGAGTGGGGCCAGGAGCCTGGGTTCTAGCCTGTACCCAGGGTCCACAGACAGGCCAAGAGGCCACCAGCCCAGCCCGTGCCAATGACCACCAGCCCTCGTGGCCAGTGGGGCACCGGCAGGCCCCTGGGGAGGCCCAGAGTCCACCTGTTGGAGAAAGGACGGCGACTGGCTGGGGATAGGCTGCGCAGTGTCCCGCCCTGTGGCCGTCTGCAACTTCCCACCTTCACTTCTGAGGGCAGGGCTGGGGGGACCCAAGGAAAACCCCTCAGTATGCCTTTTGTGCGAGGGTGGGCCTGTTTCCATTTCGCTGCCCCCCAAGTACGGGCACCCCTGGCCTGGTTTAGCGCTAAATGCCTCCATGAGGCCTGAGACACACGGAGCAAGAGGCTCCTCACCCCATTTCCTCACCCCCCAGGGAACCACTTTTCAGCCCCTCCCCTTTTTTTTATTGCGGTAATAAATGGTAAAATACACATACCACAAAACCTACTATCTTAGCCATTCTCAGTCCAGCTCCGGGGCATTAAGCACATTCAGGCTGCTATGCAGCAGCCCCTCCACCATCTCCAGGCCTGTCCATCTCCCCACACGGACCCTCTGTCCCCATGGAGCGTTCCTCCCCTCCTCCCAGCCCCTGGTGCCCACCGCCCACTGTCCCTGTGACCGGCTCCCCGGGGCCTCCCGGGAGGGGTCGCAGTGTGTGTCCCCCTGTGAGAAGCTCCCCAGGGGCCTCCCGGGAGTGTGTCACAGTGTGTGTCCCCCTGTGACTGGCTCATGTCACTGAGCGTCGTGTCCTCAGGGTCCCTCTGTGCCGGGGCAGGTGCCAGCTCCTCCCTCCTGTTTGGGGCTGGATGGTGTGCCTTACGGGGATGACTGCCATGATGCCCACCCCTCTGTTGGTGGATGCAAGTGTAAGCTCTTGTGAATAAGCAGCTGGGAACATGAGTGTGCAGGGCTCCAGTTCTTCCGCTCCTTCGGCTGTGTTCCCAGCAGTGGCCAGGCCACGGGGCGAGCCTGTTATCCTCTCTGGGGAGCCCCCATGCCGCCTCCCCCGTGGCTGCGCCAGTCCACGTTCCCCCAGCAGCGCCCGAGGGCCCCAGTTCCTCCATCTTCTTGCTAACGTTTTCTGGCTTATTTATTTAGCCCTCCTAAGGTTCAAAATTCCCTAAAGCTTAGAGATGCAGCGCATCTTCCCATGTGCTCACTGGCCGTAACTATGTCTTCTCTGGAGGAAGGTCTTTTCAAGTCCTTTGCCCATTTTGGAATTGGGTGGGGTTTGTTTTGTTTGTGGTTGAGTTTTAGTCCTTTATCTACTCTGGATATCAGACACATGACTTGCAAATATTTTTACCCATTCTGTGGGCTACCTTCTTACTCAGTGGATAGTGTCTTTGATGCATAAAATCTAAAATTTTTCATCAAGTCCAGTTTGTCCGTTGCTCTTTTAGTGCCTGTGTGTTCTGGTGTGAGGTAAGGGTCCAACTTCCATTGCATGTGGACGCCCAGTTTTCCCAGTACCATTTGTTAAAAAGATGTCCTTTTCCCACTGAATAGCCCTGTCACCCTTGTCAATACTCATTTGACTGAGGGTTTATTTCTGAGCTCCTTATTCTATCCTGTTGGTCATGCCAGCACTGGTTTGATTACTGTGGCTTTTTACTAAGTTTTGAAATCAAAAGTGTGACTCCTCCAGTTTTGTCCCTCCTTTTTTGGATTGTTTTGGCTTTGGGGGAGTCCTTGGGATTCCATATGAATTTTGTCAAATGCCATTTCTGCATCACCTGAGAAAGTCTCGTGTTCTGTCCCATTCTGCCAGCATGCGTCACACTGGCTCATTTGCATGCTGGGCCCTCCTCGCATTGCAGGAGAATCCCACCTGGCTGTGCTGTATGCCTTGTGTCCGCTCCTACCGGTTGAGGGTCCTCGCATCAGTGTCCATAAAGCACAAGGCTGTGGTTTCCTTTTGGAGTCTCTCTGTCTGGCTTTGGTACCGGGGTTGTGCTGGGCCCGTAGGCGAGTCAGGAAGAGCCCACTCTCCTCTTTGGTTTTCTGGAAAGTTTGGAGAGAGTTGCTGTGAGTCCCTCCTGGAGTGTCCCGTAGGCTTCAACAGTGCAGCCCTGAGGCCCAGGGCTTTTCTTTGTTGACAAACTTTTGGTTAATGATTCAATCTTCTTACTTTGTTACAGGCCTATTCAGATTGCCTATTTCTTCATGATTCAGTCTTGGTAGGTTTTCTGTTTCAAGGAATTTGTGTTTAATCTAGGTTATCCAGTATTTTGGTGTATAATTGTTCACAGTACTCTTTTATAAGAGCTGGTAATACTGTCCCCACTTCTTTTTTCTTAAGTCCATCTAACTAAAGGTTTACCTATTTTGTTGATAATTTTTGAAGAACCAGCTTTGGTTTCATTTATGTTGTTTTTCTGTTCTCAAGTTCTGCCTGATTCTTTATTATCTCCTTCTGCTCATTTTGGGTTTTACTCTTCTTTCTCTGGTTACATAAGTTCTTCCCCTACAAGCCTTCAGCAGGGTCCAGGGCTCCAGTGCTTCAGAGACACTCCCAGCACAGGCACCATGCAGGTGGGGAGTGCTGGTGCGTCCTGCTGCACCGTCCGCCCTGAACCTCTTCAGCTCTGTACAGTCCCCCCAGTTGTAGCCATGCTGCACTGCTGCCCAATCTGCACTGGATGCTGCCCAGTGACTTCCTGCTGTGGTAGACAAGGCTCTCTCTTCAGCCCCTGCCCTCCTGCCTCCCACAGCCTTGTCCCATTCCCCACCCACCCATAACGCTTCCGTGCAATTCTACCCACATCTGTAGTTGAGCATTTATACCACCATGACCGTGCAGACACTGTAATTACTTTCCCTGACATTTTAATCCCATAGACCTAATGTCTCTCTCCCCACTAGTTAACTATGTGCTCATTACTAACTCACCCAAACTTTCCACTTGTTAAGCCCTTGGATATAATCATGTACCCCAGTCAGCAACTGATTTCAGCTCCCTGGAGGCATTTCTCCTGCAGCCGTGTGTCTTGGGCTGATCCTGTTGCCTGGATCCCGCATCTTTCTTGGTTTACTCTCCAGGTGGAACACAGCTTTCAGCAGCTTCCTGAGAAAGCAAGTCTGCAAGACTCCCAGAGGCCTTGCATGCCTGAAAATTCTAACCTCCACTTGGTGTAGAGTTCGGCTATTGAATTCTGGGTTGGACTTTGCTTTCCTTGGTAATGCTGAAGGCACTACACCAGTGCCTGGCCCCAGAAAGTCTCCTGATGTGCCTGGGCCTGCATCCGTGTGCTCCTCAGCGCTGCAGCTCCATGTGTCCTGTGTAGGGACTCATGTTCATGAGGCTGGAGAATATTTTCTTGAATTATTTCTTAGTTACTAATTTCCTCGTCCACCTTCTCTGTTCTTGTTTTCCGGAACTCTATTATTCAGGTGTTACCTGTCTTAGATTGGGTCTCTCATTCATTTCTTGCTGCTTTCTTTTTTCTCTACTTTCTGGGAAATTTCGTCAACTTTGTCTACCAACTCTTCTATTGAAAGTTTTGTTTCTGTTCTCGGTGTTTTAATTTTGCAGAGCTCACCTTGGTTTTTAGAATGTTCCTTTTTCAAAGTATGCTTTTCTTGTTTCATGATAGTATCTCTAATTATTGTTAAATTTTGAGGTTTTCTTATCCCTGAACAATGTTTATTTCTTCTAAGTTGCTATTTCCTGTTTGTATTTTGTTGTTTCTCATATGAGAGAATTCCTGGGCTCTGTGGCCAGATTCTCCTGAGAAATCCCTCCTGCTGGAGCAGACGCTGCGCATCCACACTGTGGGAGCTGAGCAGGGTGGGGTCTCAGGCCTTGGTGTGTACACAGTCACATAACTTTGCTGTTTCTGGAATGGTGCCCCTCCCAAGCACACAAACACACTATGCCTGGTGCTGGCATACCTCCTCCACTGAGACCCTCTCTTTTTATTCTCTGCAGGGATTTAACCCCCTCATATGCCAGGGTTGGGGAGAGGCAGTCTACCAGATGCCCCGCTCCCACTCCCCTCCCACTCCCCCTGGGCTTGTGCAACACAAAAGCCTGCTTCTCAGCTTTCCTCTGGCTAAGGATTGAGCAGTCTCAACCCCTAGGCCTCCATGGGCTGCTAGCTCTCAGCGCTCTACTGTCTCCTATCTTATGGGTTTGGGCTCTTAACAACAATCCCTTACACAGTATTAATAGAGTTTAGGAGAGAACCTAGCTTGAAGCCTGTGGGTAAATCTTTAGTTTTATTCAGAAGCCTCTATATCTCCAATTTCCTTGTGGGGATGCTGAGAGCAGGGACGGCAAACACACACAAAGGGTGGGTGCTGGGAGCCCAGGGACTTGTACGTGCATCATGACAAGCTTCTGGCCTGACCCCAGGCCCTCACTCCCTCCAGTGGAGTATGGGCACCTGTGCAGTGCTGAGCCCTGTGCCTGGGCATGGGAGCCTGCCTGATGTGGCTGTGCCCTCAGCGAGCTAGCACAGGGTCTGCCAGGAAAGCCAAGTGACTAAAATCGCTCTCGCTGCTGAGTGCTGGGAAGAATAAGCGCGAAAAACAGGACTCTGGTCTCAAGGGTGAGCCCAGCATTCTAGGAGGTGAGGATGGCGTGTGAAGAGGCTCTGTGGCAGGACAAACAGGGTGTATATGGGCAGCTGCCAAGGACGAGGAAGGCAGGAGAAGAGGGCGTGAACAGCACCCACTGGCGGGCTGCAGCTCTTGTACACTTCTGTCCCCTGGAGGAGGTCAGCTGGGGGAGGTGTTCCACTTCAGCATCCAGGTGATCCCTCCTGCTGTCCTGGTCCCAGTGACTGAGGGAGGTGCCTGACGGGTGTGGGGAGGCATGTCGCCACCAGGCGGGAGAGGTGGTCTCTGCTCCAGGGGTGGCAGGAAGGACTTGGGTTGCACTGGAGTGGGGCTGGGGGCACCAAGCATGGGTCAGGGTTCCTGGCAGAGTCCAGAGTGGTCCCAGCATGGGCATGCTGGGCTGGGGCGGGGGTCCTGTGGGGTGGCAGGCTGAGTGGGGAGGGCACTGCAGCACCGGGCTGCCCGGAGGCAGGGCTGTGAAAGGGAGGGATAAACTCCTTGTTAGGGCAGACCGCGGAGGGCAGGCCTGGGAGGTGGGCTTGACCACAGGGTCTATGAGCAGAGGAGGGAGCTTGGCTGTGGCTGAGGCAGGCAGGGTGTTGGCCCGCGTGGCCTCTGATCAGGAAGCAGCAGTGGGGCTGATCTGTGTTTGGGGGTCCCTGAGGTACAGCATCTAGGAGAGGCAGAAACCCTGGGGAGGACAGGGGCCTTTACATGGAGAGACTCTGAGGGCAGGCGTATCCGGGGTGGGTGCTGGACCTGGGGAGGGGTCAGTGCCCAGTGGGTTTACAAATAGACAAGCTTTCCTCTGGGTTAGAAGACGTGCAGGTCATAAAGAGGGCCCCACCGGGGAGGAGGAAAGGCTGCCCATGGCCCAGGGTGGCGTCAGGGCTGGGGGCCCGCCTGCACGGCAGCGCACCCTCAGGGTCCTGTTCTCTGGCTAGGAGGTCTCTGCCCAGGCTGGCTCCCACAGCAGAGCCATCCTGTCCTCCAGGGCCACCTCAGGCTCCCCCCTCGGAGGTTGTGCCCACTCCCGCCCATGTGCACCGTGGCGCCCAGCATGGGTGCACAGGGCCCAGCCTCTTCCCCGAGCCTGGGGCACCCAGAGCTTAGGGACATGGTATCTGAAGGGGTCAGAGGGGGGCAGAGCTCACGGTGCCCACTGGCCGTCTGTGGCCCACGCCCAGCCTCTGGCCCCCAGGAGATGGTGGACTGGTTCAACGCCCTACGTGCTGCCCGCTTCCACTACCTGCAGGTGGCGTTCCCAGGGGCCAGCGATGCAGACGTGAGTGGCTGCTGCCGTTGTTCCCCAGGGGTGCTCCCCAGTCTGGGATGGTGGATTGGGTGCTAACCAACAGCTAACCCATGGGCCTGAGGCACCAGAGTGAGCACAGCAGCCCTGTGTGGGGCACATGCTGGGGTGTGGGGGCAGGGGACCCCCAGAGTGGCCACGGCAGTCCTGTATGGGACATGCGCTAGGGTGTGGGGACGGGGGACCCCCAGAGTGACCATGACAATCCTATACGGGGCATGCGCTGGGGTGTGGGCGTGAGGCCGGGGCTGAGCCTGTGTTCTGCCCTAGCTGGTGCCCAAGCTCTCCAGGAACTATTTGAAGGAAGGCTACATGGAGAAGACGGGCCCCAAGGTGGGTCTGAGCAGCAGCCTGGGCTTCCCTAGGCCTCCTCCAAGATCAGAGGCGTGGTGGCCTGGAGCTTGGTGGGGCTGGGTGGGCCAGATGACCCTGGCCCCCAAGGTGTTTTGTAAGAGGAGCCTTGCTAGCCCAGGACCCTGGGGCTCTGGGTCAGGCCCTCACCCTAACCAGCCCTGGCCTTGCCCCTGCCCCTCTGTCAGGGACTTGAGTACCTTCTTGCCCCAGATGCCCTGTCTTGCCCTGCCCCCTGGGGGCAGTACAGGTGACTTGGATCCCAGCACCTAGGATTTATTTAGCCCAGACAGGGCTCTGTGAAGTGCAGGTGTGGAAGGGCCTGTGATCAAGGCCTGGACCCCACCTGGCTCTCAGGGAGGGCAGGGACCCCAGATCAGCAAGGAGCTGCTGGTGTGGAGGGGAGGTAAAAGCACTGGGGCAGGAGGAACAGCATGTGCAAAGGGCCTGGTGCAGCTAGCTGGTAGATAGAGCAGGATGCAGCATGGCCCATGGAGATGTAGATGAGTGGGTGGGTGGGTGAATGGACAAACGGTAGTCAGCTGGGGGCAGGGGTCTGCCTCAGGCTGACCAGATGGACACTGACTGCAATCCACAGCACACGGAAGGCTTCCGGAAACGCTGGTTCACCATGGATGACCGGAGGCTCATGTACTTCAAAGACCCCCTGGTAAGGAAGGGCCATGGCCCGGGTCAGCTGGGGCCCCTGCAGGCAGAAGTGTCTCCCGGTGCGGCCGTAATGGAAGGAGGGGCTGGATCCCTGGGCCTAAGGGCATCACACAGCTCTGGGCAAAGCTGGGCTTGGACAGCAAGTGGCCCAGAAAGCAAACAGCAGCCCTTGCCACCCCACCTGGCATGCGTGGCCTGGCCTCAGGGGGCTGGCGACCTCGCCTGGCTCAGCCCGGCCCCTGCCCTCAGGACGCCTTCGCCCGTGGGGAAGTCTTCATCGGCAGCAGGGAGTGCGGCTACGCTGTGCTGGACGGGCTCCCGCCATCCACGCAGGGCCACCACTGGCCGCATGGCATCACGATCGTCACGCCAGAGCGCAGGTTCCTGCTGGCATGTGAGACTGAGTCAGAGCGGCGGGCGTGGGCAGCAGCTTTTCGGAAGGTTGTGGACAGGCCCATGCTGCCCCAGGAATATGCAGGTGAGGGCTTGGTGGGGGGCCCGGGGCTGCGCCCACCCCCCTCATGTGGTGGTGACAAGCGGTCACCTGCTCCCTTTCCAGTGGAAGCCCACTTCAAGCATAAACCGTAGCAGAGCTGGACCTGGAGGCCCGAGGAACCCAGACTCATGTGACCTGGCCAGCGAGGACACAGCGGCCAGACTGTGGAGACCCACAGCCAGAGGAGGCTGGCCACCTGGCCCCTGCCCCGAGGGGCAGCCCCAGTCGGGGGCAGCTGGGACCTGATCCTCTGGTCCTCCCTGCTGGTTGGCCTGTCCCGAACCTATCATGCTGCTGCCCCCGTGTGACACACCTAGCCCCCTGCTGCCCCCTTCCTCAGGCCCCTGCTGGGCAGCCCTGCGCCTCCTCCCTAACTGCCCTACAGCACACCCAGCTGCATAGGACTCCCAACCAGGAGGCTGGGCTATGGGGACAGCAGCAGCCTGCATGCCCCCTGCCCCACGTGCCCATCACTCCCCTGCTCCCCTTTCCCTTTCTTCAACAAGTATTTATTGAGCATTTGCTGTGTTGGTTGTGGGGTCCTGGAGTAGGCATGGCACCTGCATAGGGGATCTGGAGGTCGGAGGCCCCCCCTCCCCACCAACCAGGACCCCCAATGTCCTGACCTTGGGACCCTGGGGCACCTAGATTGGGAGGGAAATGGGAGAGGGCAGCTCACATGACCTGCCCCAGCCTGACCCTTGGAGGATGGAGGCCTGGGCCCAGCTCACCCCCACCGGACCCCGTGTGCTGACGCACACCCTGAGCTATCTCCCAGGAAGTGCAACACAGAGGGAGGGAGGAGCCTGCTGGGCCGTCCTGGCAGCCCCCAGCCAGGCCAGGGTATGTCCCTGCCCTGGTCATGTCACATCCTGGAATAAAGTAGGGCTCTGGGCCCCCAGGAGAGGGGTGCCTGAGGGCCTGACTCCCACTGTCCACATCCCCTTCCACTTGAGCACTGTGCCCACCAGCTCAGACCCACTGCACACCTGGATTCTGGGGCTTGCAGGGCCAAGGGGCTGCAGGAGGGGCCCTGGACCTGCTGAGCCAAGGCTGCCAGGGTCACCCAGGGCCACTCCTCCAAAGACCCTGCCCCGGCGGTGCCCCACCCCAAGAGGCTGCCCTCCCTACCACAGGCCATCCAGACAAGGAAGCTCAAGCTCTAGAGGCAGGATGCTTCCTGGGTCAGAAGCAGACACCCCGAGGTGCCCCTGGTTCTACTGCATTACGAGGGGCTCGCCCATGGCCCCCTTGGACTCATTTTCTAGGCCTTTCCTTGACCCTGGAAGTACAGGCCCTGGCTTTGCGGGTACATGAGCCTGCACTTATGCCTGTGTGCATGCACATAATCTGTGTGTTGCATCTAGAAACCCGACAAACATCTTAAAAGGAAATGGCAGATCAACTTTACCACAGGCAGGACCTCAAACAAGGTTGGGAGCTCATGGCCCAGGACTGGTCGTGGGCTCGCCTTGCCCGCTGTGCAAAGAGCCATGGGGTCAGGCGGCAGCTGGCCTGCACAGGGAACCCTGAAGCCTGCTCTGCTCAATGGACGCTGTGTTCCTAGAAACCACACAACACACCCAGGCTTGTGGGGAAGGTGGGGTCAGTGCAGGACACTCAGTATCACCCACCCTGGAGAGGCATGGTGGCAGGTGTCCAGTGCTAAATGGGCCACTCACCAGAAGACCCTGACAGCCAGCCTTTGGTCTGTGGACGGAGAGCCCCAGAACGAGAAGACACAGGGTGCAAGGGCATGTTGCAAGCACTCTGGCACAGCTCCGGTCAGCTGGCTTTTCAGTGCTGGGCACAGTCCGTGGTTTCAAAATGAGCATCCTGTTACCAGTGGGGATTCCCTCCCTGCAACACCACCCTCCTGAAAACCCCCTTGGGCAGTCTGTGGGGGGCCCCACAGGATGCTGCAGAGCTGTAGCTTGTCAGCAGGTGCACTTCTCCAAATTTAAACATGATCCCTGTACGTTTCTATCTGAAACCACGGCCGCTTGCTGCTGTCCACTCTGCCCGCCGGGGCCATGGTCTGGACACACCTGGAAGACACTGGCCACAGCTCCCAGGACTCTGAGCAGACACCCCAGCCCACAACCAGCCCAGAAGCTGACTCAGAAAGGAAGAGCACCATGGAGCCCAGTACAAAGGATTTATTTACACTGACAGTTCACACAAACATCCTTTATTTCCGCTTTCACAGTAAACAAAATCGTGTACTTCATCCCTTCTGATGTGTGATCACTGTGCTAGTCTACAACTCTCAACTTAATGGTGGAAAAATAAAGTGTTTCCCCTTTTATAATCATCCTGGGAACATCTGGTGAACATCAGTGAGAAAGGCCAGATTTGTTCATCCCTGGACTGGTTATTTGGTGAATAACCTAAACAGACCTGAAATGTCAGGTCAAAGGAATCAGTCACCCAGTGAAAATAAATATTGCATTCTGAAAGGTGGAAGGTCCGTGGCCTCCTTTTATGAGACGCCACCTCGGAAGGCCACATGCTCGGCAGCAGGGCCGTGGCTTCTGGGATTTGGCACAGAGCAGCTGCCCAGACCGCACCAGGACGTTCCTGTGGGGTTGGCTCGCTGGAGGCCAACCCCACTGCCCTGAGGGCGCAGCTCCTGCTTGGTCTGCAGCAGGGACGGCACACGGGATGAGCATGCGGCAGGCTGCGCCCAACGCCGCGGCGCCCTCCCAAAGCAAGCCAGAAACAACGACGGGAGAGGAGGCGCGGCAGGCCTGTGCTTTATTGTGGTCAATCTGGAGGTACACGGAGCGGACGCCGGCACAGCCCAGCAGGCCCCACAGCCCACGGCCAGTGCATGTCAACAGGGACGCCTACGTGCAGCCACTGCAGCCTCAGAGCCGCAAGCCGGCTGGGTGAGGCCCACGGTCCAAGGCTCGCGACTGAGGGGTTCTTCATGCAGGTCAGTCGAGCTCAATGGGACTGCTGTCATCCTGGCTGTCGTCGCCCTCCTGCTCCGAGGAGCCCATGAGGCTGCTCAGAAGGTTCCCTGGAAGCAGACGCACGGCACCATCAGGGAACAGCAGCTTCTCACTGTTGGGGCCCCACCTGAGAAATCCCACCTTCCCGGGCATTCCAGGAACAGCCTGGCAGCTAGAATCTCTCCAAGGGAAAGGCACCTGGTGCCCAAGGAAATGCTTGGGATGTCTGCTGAGCCCTGACTCGATGGGACATGGCCCAGCCCCCAGGGGCCCTTGAGAGTCATCACAGGAAGACTGAAGTCAATTGGAGGCTGTCAAGTCCCACACACAGTAGCTCCTGAGGTGGTACAGAGTAAGACTGCACCAGTTTCCAAGGCTGCACAAAAATGTCCCGTGGGTACTGGCACTATAGACACTGCTGCTTTCTACTCATCCAAAGAACAAAATCACATCAGCACAAAATCAAAGTTAAAAGTTGCCTTAGACTAAACCCCACAGAAAACATGAACAACGCTCTCAGGACAGACTGGGCGGAGAGTCAGCAACGGCGTGAACCTGCCGACCTGCAACCTCTCTCAGGCCTGGGAGGCACAGCCACTCATGGGGAAACTGAGAAGGCTGATGCGGGGTTCTGAAGATGGGCACCCACCAGGAGCTGGGACATCTGTGATGAGGAGTGAGGCCTCAAGATCAAGCTTGACAGACATGAGCTCAGGAAACTAACTTCCAAGCCCAGACGTGAACACATGGACACCACGTGTTCAGGTGGATGTTAGCCCGCACAGACCCAGACGGCCAGTCTTCACCTCACCTTCCACTGAAAATATTCCAGACAGCTTACAAGTAAAAAGTCAAACTTGTTTGAGGAGAAGTAGCTTTCAACATGATTTCAAACATGTGGGGGTCTCCGTGGGGCACATCTGGCCATGCTGACTGAGGTGACGCAGGTGGGTGCCCCCTGGAGTGGGATAGCAGGAGCACTGGCTGCCATAGCTCATCAGAGCAGAGCAAGGGGTCTCAGGGCTGCACTGGGAAAGCCTACGGGACACTCAGGAGGGACTCACAGCAACCCTCCCCAAACTTTCCAGAAAGCCGAAAAGGAGAGCGGGCTCTTCCTGACTTGCCTACGGGGCCAGCACAACCCTGGTACCAAAGCCAGACAGAGAGACTCCAAAAGGAAACCACAGCCATGTGCCTTACGGACACTGATGTGAGGACCCTCAATCAGGTATGAGCAGACACAAGGCATACACCATGGCCAGGGGGAATTGTCCTGCAATATGAGGAGGGCCCAGCACGCAAATGAGCCAGTGTGACGCATGGTAGCAGAATGGGACAGAACACGTGACCTTCTCAGGTGATGCAGAAAAGGCATTTGACAAAATTCAACACTTTCATAAAAAAGTTCAGGGAACTAGGAATAGAAAGAAACTACATTCAATTAATAAAAGCACATGTGAAAAATCCATAGCACACTTTATGCTTAATAGGGAAAGACGGGAAGCTTCTCCCCCAGGACTAGATTCAAGACCAAAATGTCAACTCCCACTGCTCCCATCCAACACAGTGCTGCCTGCCCTAGCCACAGCAATTAGGCAAGAAAAAGAAATGGAGGGTGTCCCGACCAGAAAGGAAGAAGTGAGACCATCTCTGCACAGGACATGAGCTTACATGACGTGTCCACAAGACAACAGAGGTAAAAAAGTAAGCTCAGCAAAGCGGAAGGATTCAAGTCAACACACAAAATCAGCTGCATTGCTACTGACAAACTGAACGACCCGAAAGGAAATTACAAACAGAATCCCATTTATTATAGCACTAAAAACAATAAAATATGTAGGAATTAAGTTAACTAAGGAGGTGAAAGCCTTGTACAATGAAAACTACAAAACACTGCTGCAGTAATTAATTTGACATACATAAGTAGAAATGCATCCCATGTTCAAACTACAAGATTAACTTATTAAAAGTGTCAATGTTACCTAAAACAATTTACAAATTCAATGCAATCCCTATCAAATCCCAAAGATTTTTTTTTTCAGAAGTAGAAAAACCCAACTTAAAATTAATATGGAACCCCTAGGTACCCTAATAACCAAAACAATCCTGGAAGAGACAAAACTGGAGGGCTCACACTTTCTGTGAGCCACAGAACCACAGCAGCTGAAACCGGAGTCCTGGCCCAGACACACAGACCAGAGGAACAAACGCTCAGGCACCACGAAGGGCTCTGACAAGGGTGCTGGAACCATCTGGGGGGAGGGTGTTTCCGCCCATGCAGCCGGGCAGCTGGACCCCAGCGCTGTACACAGAGGCTGACCTGAAATGGACCGAGGGCCTAAACCTAAGGTCTAAAACAATAGGAAGAAACAGGACAAAAGCTTCAGGATTGAGCAGTGGTTTCTTGGACTGACACCAAAGACACAGGCAATAAAAGAAACAGAGAAACTGTACTCATGAAAATAAAAAAATTGTGTGCATCACAAAACACTATCCACAGAGTAAGGAAAAGATGGGAGCAGAGCAGGGACACACAGGCAGAGCCCAGCGGGCTTCCAGGGAGCGGAATGGCTCCGCGGGACACGGTGACAGGCGCACGTCATCATTCGCTGTCCAAACCACAGAAGGTACCACCACGGGTGGGTGACTGAGACGTGTCCACATGGACCCATGACTCGAACGGAGGCAGCATCAGGAGGATGCTGGTAATGGGACAGGGCTGGGGGACAGGGGTGTATGCAAATCTCTGTACCCTCCTCTTAATCTTGTTGTGAACCTAAAACTGCTTTTATAAAGTCCTAAAAGAGGCAACCAATGGGAGAAAACATTTGCAAAACTTATTTAAGGGACCAGCATCCCAATGGTGCAACTGCTATTAATGGTTCATTTGTTCAACAATTAAAATCGAAACTACCTGCTTCAAAAGCAGGCAAAGGACTTGAATGGACACAGACACGAGTGGCCAGCAAGCACACGGCACACGCAATGCCACTGGTCACTGGACTGCCAAGAAGGGATGCCGCCTTCACACGTCCCACCCAGATCACAGCAGGTGGCAAGTGTTGGTGAGAACGCAAAGAAATGAGCCCTGGTGCACCAGTGCGCCAGCAGGGAGGCAAGTGGTGCAGCCACCATGGGAAGTGGTATGGAGGGTTCTCAAAAAATCAAACACGGAATTACCAAATGACCCAGGACTTCCACTTCTGGTATTTACCCAAATAATTCAAAGCAGGGAGAGATACTGGCACACCCATGCTCACAGCAGCATCACACACAGTAGCTCAAACATGGAGATGGCAAGCGCACTTGTGTGTATACACACAGCTGGTGCTCCTCAGCCCTACACGAGGAGACAGGGGCACCTGCCCCAGCATGGAGGGACTCCGAGGACACGACACTCCATTGTGACACGAGCCGGTCACAGGAGGACACACACTGCGACCCACCTCCATGGGGCCCCTGGAGGAGCCAGAGTCACAGGGACAGTGCATGGGGACGGGGACAGGGATGCTCAGTAGGGACAAAGGGTCAGTCCTGGAGATGCTGGAAGGGCTGCTGCACGGCAGTGTGATGTGCTTAATGCCCTTGAGCTGTGCACTGAAAATGGTTAAAGTGAGAAACTTAACGTTATGTATTTTACCACAATAAAAAAAAGAAAAAAAAATTTGGTCTCAATTCTGTGGCCAATGGAGAGGGAGCCCAGAAGATCCTTACTCCCCGGGGAGCAACAGGCCCTAATAGGCTGCCTGGGAACATGCAGAGAAGAGGACCAGCTGCTGACGAGAGCTGTGGAGCCTATGGAGGCCACTGCCACCACGCCCCCAGTGCCACCCACTCCTCTCCCTCCCTGCAGAACCCAGCACAGAGCCCAGTGGAGCGGTAGGCCCCGACCCTGCTCACCTAGTAAGCCCCCGTAGGAAGATGTCTGCTTGGGCGGCACTCCGAAGAAGAGCTGTCCTATCCTGTCGAGGTACTGTAGGGGGCAAAGGGTGCAGGTCACAGAGGGGATGATGCGCCGGATACATAGGCCACAGAGCCACCAGCGCAGGTCTTCCTATCCCCACAACTCAAGGTCCAGTTCTGCTGTGTGCGCTGCACTGGGCCTATACGCTTCCCTCCACTCCCCACACCTCCACCCCTCCCATAGGCCTCACCTCGTTGTACATGGGGTCCCGCCGGAGGGACGGCTGGTACTGCTCACACAGCACCGTGAACACTGTCAGCTTGCCCCTGGAACAGACAGGAGTGGGCACAGTCTGTCTTTAGCCAAAACCCAAACAGCATGAGGAAGCCCTCACCTCACTTCACCCCATCACATCCTCACTCAAAACTCACCCATCTACAGCCAGCAGCAGAAACCAAATGAAGTTGAGCAGGGGCTGCACGAAGGGAGGGCCATTCTCGATGGACGGGTGCTTCTGTGTGTATGTTGTGAACACCACCGACGCGCTGCTCTTATTTTTTAAACAGAGAAACCTGGACATGAGAACACCCTGGTGAGTGGGGATCCTGAATGGGAATGGGGCTTCTCCCAATGTGTACATGAACATTCAAGAGGATATCCTGCAGGCACCCAGGGCTGCTCAGTGCCTGCCAGACACAGCTCTGACTTCAGCCCTGTGCTCTGCAAGCTGTTCCCAGTGAGCCACGGAGTTTGCATTTTCACAGTTCACAGGGGAGACACTTGGGCTGGGAAGGACAGTCCATGGCCACTGCCAGGAAGAGTGCAGCGCTCACTATCTGCACCAGTTGGCCCATGGCCCCAGATGCCAGGCTGGTGCGGGCACAGGCTGCCTCTGCCCCATGGAAGGCGTGCCCTCCGTGGCACTCCCTGGGCTGTGGGCTCAAGAACCTCTTTTTGGGCATAAAGAGGAATCAACAAGAAGGGTTATCTACAGGCAGCACGGGGTTCAGTCCAAAGATGGCTGCACATGTGCCACAACACCAGGGTCAGTGACTTTGGGATTTCAAAAATGTTTCATTTTCAAAGTCTCAAACATCAGCAAAAGTTAGGTAGCAGGCACAGAGGCTCTGGGGCACAGTGAAGTACAGGGACCACTCCAGGGCCTCTTCGAATTCACAAATACACCGAGCCCAACACCCACCACCAAGGTACGTTTGTGGGATGAAGTGAATGTATTACGTGTGAAATGTTCCCATCAGGAGGGGAGGACAAGCTCAGGCTTGGAAAAGGTAGAAAGCCAAGGAGTGAGTCGGGGGCATGGGAGCCAGTGGGGAGCCACTGTCCAAACCTTTCTGTGTTACCTTGTTTCAATACTTTTGAGGCAAACTGTCAGAAAGGAAAAAAGGATGAGGAGGCCTATAGACAGAGGGACAGAGACAAGATCTGAAAAATGAGATGACACCACATACTGGGATGCGTGGGTGCGTCAAGTGTCTGCACAGACAAGCAGCCTTTGAGAGCAGGCTCACTGCACATTCATGATGCTTCTTCAGCTTCATTACCCACGCGTGTTCTACTGACAGGCAGCTGCATGACAAAACCCCACGCCACAGGGGGACAATGGGGAAGCACACAGCCGATGGTAAGGGCAGAATGCTAATGGACACCTTTGTTCCCTCCTCCTGCGGGGCAAGTGGAATTTTACAGACGCGTGGACAGCCAACATCTGTGGCAGGGGCCACACTGAGCCCAACCCCTGTGGCTCCAGGGGACACTGTGGGGGCTCAGCGGCTATCTGGAACCCAGGCAGAGCAGCAGGGGTACATACTGTAGGACGGCCTGGGCCACAAACATGTCCACCTCGCTGCGGAAGCCCCGGGCTGTGGAGTACTCCACCAGCATGTGCGCACAGCCCTCGCCATCCGCCGAGTGCAGGAAGTGGTACCGAGATTCACAATAGTTTTGCTCTAGGAGAGAGAGAGAAGCCTGTGAACACAGCCTTCATGTGTTAGCTCAAGCCACCCACCGATGTCTGCACACGCACATGCCACACACACACACGCACACATGGCGGCCCAAGAACACCTTGCCTCTGGCTACTGAGAGCATCAGGGCTGCAAGGGGCAGGTCTCTGGCCTAATGAGCTGTGCCGGCTGCCCCTGCACCAGCGTCTGCATCGGCAGGATCCCAGGACCTGCACAGATGGCAGCCCCATGCAGACCTGAAGAGAAGGGTAAACCCACACAGCCTGGTGGACAAGGGCCTTCCTCATGGAGCGAGAGTTGGGACCAGGCACATGACCGACATTCCCAGGTGGCCAGGCGGGTCTCTCTGTCATGGCCACACTGGGTGTTCACCCCTGCAGTGCCCCCATAGAGGCCAGACTGTCCCCACTTAAGGTGGGTTCTATGGAAGCTGAGCACAGAAGCTCAGGCCTGAGCCCGCATCCTACAGGGGCTGGGGAGCACCTCCATCCCTGGATGCTTCCTCACCCACGTCCCTGGATCTGCCTGTGGAGAAGACATGCAGCTGCAGTGCAACCAGTGTCCCCAGGACAGAGCTGTTGGTGAGGCATGTGTCACGTGCAAGTGGGCTCAGGGCCTGCCAGCCTTCCTGGCATCAATGAGCAATGCAGGTGCTGCACGGGCCTTACCCTGAGGTGCTCCCCCAATTCCTAGCTGCGAAGCTGTGGCTGCCCCACCGCACTCAGTGGCACCCCCAACAGTGCTGCCTGCCACAGTTTCGGTGCCATACCCAGGGTGCAGCTGGCATTCGGTGGGTACAGGACCATGGGAGAGGTTGGCAGATCCCCAGGGCACCCAGCACCTGCCCGTCCCGAGGCCCCGGCCTGCTCACAGGCAACCCCACAGCCCTCTTGGTGGCACTGCAGATGCTGGGTGGGAACCACCCACACACCCATCCCACCCCTATGTGTGCGCCTCAGGTAAACTGCCTGCACTTTCATTCTGAAAATGGGACACTAAATACATATGGTTTACGGCTCCACTGGGCATCCCTCAGCCCACCAGCACATGTGCCCCAAGACACAGGGCCACACCCCATTTTCTGCCGGGCATCACCCCACAGGCTCCACAAAGGGGTGCCAGACACATGCTTGCCAGTGCACAGGCTTGATGAGGGCATCCCCAGTGCGGGCGCCCCAGGCGCCCTCTGATGGGAGGTGAGCAATGGAGGGCAGAGGCCTCAGGCCTGTGTCCACCCCGCCCAGCTGGCTAGCCCAGGATGGCCACCCTAAGGGCTGCCTGGGCATAAGCACCAGACGGCACCCTGACCAGCAACCCAGCTGGTGGGGACAGAGACAACAGGCGGAGGTTGTAGGACACGAGGAACTGGCCATCAGCCCTGGAAAAGGCCTGGTCAGGAAGGGCAGTGCACATACAGAGAGGGTGGCCGTCCCACCTAGAGGTGCTCCTCTTCCACAGCCACTCTCTCTGGGCCTGCAGTCGGGAGGGCACTTGGCCACACCCGGTGGCAGAGTCTCCCTGAGTTTGTGGCCCTCAGATCTTTTTGCCTTCTCTTAGATATGACCCCTTCCTCTCATACTGTCCCTCTGTGGTGAAGGCAGGGCCAGCAGGCCAGCACCCAGCACACGAGGAGCCACAGCAGAGAAGGGCATGGGGATGGGGGCTGCTCCAGAAGGAGCCAGCTGGCCTGGGTGGCCTCTGGAAGGTCGCCTCATGGGAGCGAGACTGCCCCTCTGCGCCCCGCCAGAGTACCCAAGCCACCTCCCGTCACCTGGCCCTGCCCAGGGCATGGGGAGGATGCCGCAAAGGTGCTGAGGGCTGGTGCACTGGGTCTGGCAGCACGGAGCCACTTCCTACATGAGGCCCTGGGAGCGCAGCTCTGTAAACCCACCAGGTACCTTCCTATGCCCAAGAGGCCGACAGGGCTCAGGGTGCAAACCACGCTAAGAGCTGTGACCCTGCCCGCTGGATGAATGGTCCCCACCAAGCCTTATGGAGAAGAGAGCTAGGTGCTGCAGCCCAGGACCCAGCCACATTCCAGCTGCCACATCCCAGAAAGCACCCTGTGGTGGCAGGGAGTATGTTATGTACAGGGAACCCCAGAGTTCCATGGAGAGGGGCAGGTGAGGCAGGGCGACAGCACAGCTGTTACCCCATGGCCCTGGGGGTCCTTCTGTGGGTGAATGATTTAGTCAAGAGGGCACAGGCTAACAGGCAAAGAAGGCTGACAGGCAGAGAAGGTGACCCTGCCACTTGAGAACGCGCCATCTCTCAGCAGCCGTGGAAGATGCAAATCAAAGCCACGGGAGTAGCGGGCATGAGGAGGGATACCAGCTCCAGGCTCTCCAGGCCCACCGCCTCTGGGGAGCCCTTGGGACGCCCACCTGCCCATGCTTAGCACGTGCCTACCTTTCCACAGGGTGAGGGCCAGCAGCTGGTGGAGCCGGGGGTGGCCCAGCTTCCCGGATCCCCCGCTGGACCACTTCAGGGCTCGGGACACAAAAGCCACTCGCTCTGGAGAATTTGGATCCATCAAACTAAACAGTTTAGCCAGATTTTCTAAAAACAACACAAACACAGACCCTTATGCTACTTCAATCCTCTGCACAGCACCACATAGTTGGTCAGGATCAACAGTAACTTCACTTCAAGGGAAAGCTGAGAAGTGGCTGGCCTGGTGGTGGCCCTGGTACGCAGGGGGTCCCAGTGCTGTGCGGGCTATCCCAACTGACCTCTCTGCTGTGGGTCACCAGCCACACACTCCCACTGGCCTCATGGCTCTACCCATGCTGGGGAGCCGGTCCCCAGCGGAACACAGCCTGGGCAGTGGGAAGGTACAGCACCAGAGTGCAGAGTCCAGGAGCAGGACCCCTCCGTCTGTCCAGTGGGCCAGCTCATGAGAAGGGCTTCCCCAACTGCATGCTTACCTAACGGGGCAGGCCGGCAGCCAGGTCTCTGACAAAACAGCGCCCCACCTCGCCACTGGCTGGGAAGCCAGTCACTGTGGCCAGCATGGCAGCTCCCGTGGGGGGGCCTCAAGTGCACAGCAAGAGAGCTCACCCAGCAGTTCGTCAGCCACCTCCACTTCCGCCTTCTCCAGCGACTCCAAGACCAGCATGGACAGGTCTGCAGCACTGTTCTGCTACAGAACATGGAGATGAGCAGACATCAGTTGAAGAGGCAGCTGCTTGGCTTTCCATGTGGAAATCACGCACACCAAAGCCGGGAACACGATTCTGAGCACTGAGGTCAGGCAGCAAAACGGCCAAGCAACCCGGCTGGACATGCAGCACCCCAACACCTAGCGACATGAGGACACACAACCGGCTGCGGCCAGTGCCCAGGGTGGCCCGAGGTCATCCACCAGCCTCCCCTGGACACCACTGCCCCACAGGCCCTGAGCAGAGCAGGTGCAGAAGAAGCTGCCTCACCTGGCCGTGGCTGAAGAACAGCAGCGCTCCTGAGACCATGAGCTCCCGGGCCTCCGCGTGCCTGCCCTGGGACATGTATCTGCAACAGAGAAGGTGGTCAGGGAGCTGGGCATGGCCACCTGCCACCTGTGCAGGTGCGTGAGCCCAGGACTGGTGGCAGCGGTTCTCCAATTAGCTGCTAAAGGATGGTGTCCGAGGGCACAGGGAGGACTCAGTATAAGCCACCCTATGTGCACATGCCTGCTCCCGAGATGGACTCAGCGCTGTGCTGGGTCCCCAAGGCCTGCCCCCCAGTGTCCTGTCTGTCCAGGCTCTATGGTGTGGGTCCCAGGGCCCAGCCTGCACAGTGCCCCTGCCATCAGCACCTCAGGAACCAACTTCCCGCTGCATCAGAACCGGTGGGGACCCTGTCTGCACCCAAACCAGCCAGAAGCCAGAGGTGGCATTGCCCCAGAGCACCTCCAGGTTCTGAGTCAAAGGCTGTGGCGACCCCTGGCGCCAAGCACGGGCCTGGCCTGGGAGGTGGTGACACGCCCTCTTCACCAAGAACCACAGCTCAGGACCACACACCATGACTGTGCCTGTCATAGGGCACAGGTGCAGGACACCGGCTTCCTGGGCTGCCAGGCCAAGGACGCACTGGCTGTATGCTCACCTCGGTGACCATGGCACAGAGGCAGAACCAGCCAGCGAATCTGTACCCAAGTCACACCAAGGCCCCGGGCAACCGGCGGCAGCAGCTGCACAGACAGGACACAGCCTGGGACCAGTGCCCTGCAGTGCTCAGGGCTCAGGGCACAGCCACAGGGAAGGTCCTGTCCTCCACCCGGCCAGACACCCGAGGAGCCCACAGCCCCTGCCCATCAGCACGTGGTCATAGCCCTGACGGGAGGCCCCATGAGAAGACCACCATCAGCCTGCAGCCCTCACACGGTCACCCATTGCTGCCCTAGCCTCACCCCATGGGCCCTGCCCTGCTCTGGAGAACCAGCAGTGGGAGCGTGCAGCTTCAGGCCGCCTGCATGGACATGCACAGAATGTAGGGCTCATCTGCGCAACAGTCACACCAGCTCATCTCTGCTCACGCATGACACGGCAATGTTCTAGACTCTTCCATCTGAGGCACAGCAGGAGACAGCCTCTGAGAAAACCAGACAAGGTGAAAGAAGGCCCTGAAAGGCAGATAAAGTAAATTCCTGGGATAGCAGGGCCTGCCCTCAAGGGTGATGGTGGCCCACTGCTCCTGACATAGCTCTGGGGGAGGGAAACAGTATCAGGCTTGCCAGTCACTCCCCACCAAGCCTGAACCACTTGCAGCTGATCAAGGAAAGCTGGGAATAGATTGGTGAGGGCAATTAGGAAGGCACCTGTCCTTGTGCAGAACAGGAGCAGAAAGGGGCTGGTTTGGGGGGACTGGTCAGGGATGAGGTGTGCCCAAGGTCTCAAGGGCTTAGGTGGGGAGGCAGGGCCCAGCCATGCAGCCCTGAGCCCTTGGGTCAACACCGAGGCACCTTCTCCAAAGGGAGGTGCCTGCTGCCGGTGGGGCAGGACATAGAGCTGGAGCTCAGCAGCCAGCAGCCCAATCAGGACATCAGTACACGGCACCCGTGTGGCACTGCACCCGAGCCATTACTCCTTCACTTTGCTTTTAAGTTTTTTAAGAAAGCAGAAGACAGAAACGAAGTATTACTATGAGTGACGACTACAGTGCAGTGTCACGTGAGGGCAGGGCTGTGCTCAAAGCCTCAGCCAGTGGGGCCATGAGCTGCCAAGGCTCCAGTGCCCAACGGCCTTGAATCAACAGGCACATTGACCCCCAGCTGCATCGTGCACGCAGACTTGCAAGGACACGTGGTCTAAGTTTGTCTTTTCAAAATATGTTCATTTGATTAAGAGGCAAAACATAGACACTCCCATGCATCTTAAAAAGGCCTCATGCAGATTCGGGGTACAGGGCCAGCAGGGGGGTTCCTCAGGTGGCGGCCACAGCATCAGGCATGGGGCCCTCCAGCCACCTTGCACAACGGCCCCTGAAGCCACAGGGCATTAGCGATGGATACTTAATGGAGCAGCAGAAACCCCGCAGGTGGAATACGCCCACCCACCAGGTCCTGGCAAGACCAGGGCCTGCCCACGGCCACCACTGCGACAGACGGGACAGCCTCCTACTGAACGACTGGAGCAGGGACATTGCCACTCCTGTGGGTATAACCCCGAGCCCAACCCATGGCTGGCCCACTCCCTTCTTCCCGCCTCCATTCCTGCAAGTGAATGACAACAGCGTGAGTCGGTGCGTTTACCCAAAGGGTGAAGGGAGAGGCAAACCGCAATCGTCCAGCAATAGAACATTACTTAGAAATAAAGTCGGACTAATGATACGCGTGGAGAATCTCAAAATAATCATGCTGAGTGAATTCAAAACGGCAGATAAAAAAAGCAGAAATACCACATGATTCCACTTATGCAAAATTCTCTAAGATGCACATTAAGCTATCATGACACATCAGTGCGTGGGGTGCCAGGGTCACTTGGGTAATTTTGGGGGTAACGGGTATCCCCACCACCTTGACTGGAGGCAGTTTCACAGGTGTTCACAGATGTCAAAACTCATCAAACTGTGGGTCTCATGAAAATAAGCATATGTGTGAAGGCAGACTGTGAACTGGAGGAATAGGACCACTCCCGGCTCTTTCAGGTAGGTCTCCTGATGGCCATTGCTGAAGAGGTAGGTCCACCATATTGCCCGAAGCCAAGAGCACGTCATCTACTTCACACAACTCTGAGGAGGTGCAGGAGCACCCCAAATAACTCATAAGGAAGCCAAGGCTCAGACAGGTTCAACAAGGTGTCCTGGGTCATCACAGGTGAGATATGGAATTCAGACCCAGGTTAAGCCAAAGCTGGAAGAAAGCCATGAATTCGACCCCGCCCCACGCCACCAGGCAATACACCCGGAGCACAGGGGTGAAGCTCTTTGAAGCTGACAGTCATATTCCCATATGGCAGTCACTGCAGAAAGGGCTCAAAACAAGGGACACTGTGTTTATGCCTGGGAAGGCCCAGTTTCGCTGATTAATCATGGGGGCAAATATTTATATACAAATCCTCAGGGAACAGAGACCACCAGGCGACTGGAGCACTGCAAAAGCTCCCATCACAGACTTCTCTGATAAGCTCAGCTGCCAGATGCAGGGCAGACGTTACAAAGTGTAGCGCCTATTCAGATCTTCGGCTAATTCCCTGAGGAATAATCAACTCAGTCCTACCTGGTCCTCTGGGCCACGAGCCCAAGCCTGGTCCTGGGCGCGACGTGTCACGTTTAATCCAAACATAAATCAGTAAATGCCTCCAGACACTGACTCAACTTGCTATTTAAAAAAAATTTTAAATCTAGGTCTAATGGTTCAAAGGCCAGACCCGACTGTCCTTAAATATCACACCAAGATATGCTATTGTGCAGCAGTTTAGAAGCAAAAGGCGCTTCACAGAATGGATTAAATACTCTAAAATCACCTTTAAAACATATCCAAGTTCTAATGAATGGCTCAGTTGTTTTCTGGCTTGGGTCAAAAAGGATCACTGAATACGTGTAATTTACGGGAATGTCTGCACATGTAAAAACCATCTAAAAATTATAGCAGTAGCTGCACGACAGCAAAAGCATTGCGGCACAGTGCTGCCCAATTAAAAATTAACGCAAACTACACGGTACACGGGAAACTCCAAGGGCCACACGAAAAAGCAGGCACGTTTTATTTCGAGCAAGCCACCCAAGCGCCGCTTGGGCGGTGACCTGAGACCCGTAGCCCGGCACGCTGGGCAGAGCAGGAGACACCAGATCACCGGGTTTATGAAAAACGCTGGTTTAGCAACAAAATATCATGCGCGGGGGTGGCGGCAGGGCTGGAGAGGCAGCGAGACCCGGTTGACCCTCGCGACTGGATTCCCGAGGAAACCCTGAGACCTCACGTGGGGGCCTCAACCCTCCGCGGCCAGGCGGCTGGGCGGCTGGAGGTGAGCAGGGAGCTGCGGGCCCGGAGCCTGGAAAGGGCCGGCCGGGGACCCCGGGACAGGGGTCCGGGGCTGAGGGCGAGAGGCTGGAAGAGGACAGACAACCGGGGTAGAGTTCCGGGTCCGGGGCTGGAATAGGCCAGGAGGCCGGGGCAGGGCCCGGAGCCCTCCGCCAGCACGCCGCGGCCTCACGGTGACAGGCAGCGACGCGGGCCAATAGAGGTGCGGGGCGGCGCAGGACGGCCAATGGGCGGCAGCCTGGGGCGGGGCGCCAGGCTGGGCGGAAAGCCCTAGCAGGCGGCGGCCGCGGCTACCTGAAGAAGAGGGTACGGTACATCTGGTGCGCCTCATAGTAGTCTCCCTTTTCCACGCTGGCGCGCAGCTTGCCCTCCACGCGCTGGACGCCGCCGCGGTTGCGGGCGCCGTTTCGGGCGCTCTCCTGCTCGGCCATCGCCGCCGCCGCCGTCGGGCCGGCGCTCCGCGAAGGGCTGACGCTGTCGCAGGCGCGGTCAGCAGAGCCTCTCGGCTTCCGTCCCGGCGGCTGCCTGACGGCCTCTACGGCGGCCCACGAGGAGCCGCGCGCACCCGGGGGCGGGAGCGCGGCGGCCACGAGACCTGGGGGCGGGGCGGTCGCGTGACCTCAGCGGGGCACGCCTGTTCCACAATGGCGGCGGCACGTGACGGCTCAGCGCCGGCGCTCCGCAGCGAGCCTCCGCGGCGGGCGGCCGAAGCGGAGTGCGGGTGACACGTCCTCGCCCGGAATAGCGGATCTGCAGGGGGAATGGGCGGTGGCAGACGGGGAGAGGACGGAGCAGGGGCGGGGACAAGGTCGGGGACCGCGCTCACCCCTCCGTACCGTTGCAACGTCAGTAGGTTGCAGACTCAAGATTCATCGAGACCGTTTGTATGAACAAACGTCCCTAAATCCGGCCGTTTAAATCCACGGGATACTCCCGTGCATCTAAAGAGAAACCTTAGAGCTGGTAAATGAAGCTTTTTTACTGATACGAGCTTCCAAGATATTTTGGTTGATTGAAAAGGCCAGGTGCACTACCGTGCCTTGAGTGCGCCACCAAGTGTTAACAGACGTGCATGTCCCCTTAGGGGACGAGACACGGGGCAAGGGGTGCCCCTGCAATCAACTAATGGCGGAGGGAGCCTTCGCAGCAACCGCCCCAGCCTGGCGCTGCCAGTGTCCCCTCCCTGCCGCTTCCCAGCTCAGATCTGAAGAGCAGCTTTGTCCTGCCCCCGTGACCCTTCCCAGGGCCGACCTCACAGCAGGCCTTGCATCAACGTTTGTGGACACATCCTGGGTTAGGCTTGGAACGGCCTTGAGTGACAGGAGCCCTGATGACGGTGGAAACGTTCTTGAGACCCATCTCCTCTTTTCCTGACTTCCTCCGTGTCAGGCAACCTTCTCTACCCTTCAAGTCTGTTTTCCAAGTGGACTTCCCTACAGTAGAGGTGCCCAGGGACCCGAGTGACACAGCTATGGGGACAGGTTACCATGAAATGGCCGGTGACTGGGAACAGCAGAAAACGTGTCCCAACACCCTCGTGGGCAGAAACAAAGCAAACTGAGAAAAGAAATACACTTTATTATTCACTTGAAACAGCACATGCACTTTTAAAAATTAAAACTCTTTTATTTAAACATTTCAAAGCATCTTACCAATTTGGAGGCAGCCAGAGCAGCACTACCAAAGACAAATATTTTGAAAAGCATTTACAAAAATACATTGCACAAAGTCCTATCTTGCATCTTTAAAAATAAATATTCAAAATATTTCCGTCCCAACTCCCAAATTTAGTTTTATATAGGAAATTTTGATTTATATATTTATACTGTAATATGAAACATCTATATATATTTTATTCCAACTTAACTGCATAGGCATTAGTTCCAATTCTAAGTGGAAAAAAAATGCTACTTCATGTAGTTTTTGTATATTTGAGGACTGTTGTGCAGTATACATAAAACTCTTCAGAAATCCAGTCAGCACCATTTTTTCTTTTTCTGAAAATACAACATTTATGGTACACCAAAAAATTCTTAACCCAATAAAACAAGTAATTTTTAAGGTAAAACATCTGTAACACTAAGTGCCTTGCAGATATCTCATTTATAAAGTCTGCACAGTAAAAGACTAAATATTTATTATAACCAAAATGAGTCTCACAGGAATTGAGAATGGCTGACAGTAGTAATAAAAGGCAAACCCCAACTAGATCCAGTAGAAAGTGCTGCTGTAAGAAAAATTACAATCATAAAATGTAATGGTTTTATGAATTTGCCACACTGTCAATACAACAAAAACACAAGCCCCTGAAATTTTAAAGCATGTTAGTGTTCACTTTTCAGCAAATTCAAAACAAAACCTGAAAACATCCAAAAGGTCAGATTCCTCAGTTCCTATTCCATCTTGTCAAGTGAATGCTCCGGGGTAATGCCAATGGGATGAGCCCAGCTCAGACCTGAGAACTCTACTATTTGTTTAGATCCAGACCATCCCCCTTTCATTCAGAACCACTTCAACCGACAAAGATGAGAAACCCTCCCCTATTCCTGAATGGGTGTCAACACACCAATCCTGTCTTTGAAAATGTTCCTCAAGAGCAGGAGCAAACTGGCAGAAAAACAAATTTTGTCATTTCTTCACCTGATGATAAAGTAACTACTGGTGCTGAATCTCACCCAAAAGGAAGGAGTTCAGAACTCTGAAATTTGGTGACATTGTTTTTCCCTGAAAGAAATGGTGTGCTGGATTGAACAGATGACATATATCCACCCCCAAAAGTCCTGACAAAGGGCCAGTGAATGGTGAAACACAAAAGCTTCAAGAACACATCAAATCTTTTAGCTTCATTTCCTTTGTTCCTGATGTCCAGAAATACAAATATAAAGAGCTTTATGTTCAAAACCAGATCCTCAAAACAAAGTGTCTATGAACCACACATTCAAGTGACTGCACAGAGATGCATCTCTGTGACCCCACGCATTCAACATGCAGTATTTTCTGTGGACCTAATAGCAAGTTGGGTGGGTGCCAGAGCACAGACTGCACCAGTCCCCAGGGCCCACTGTGTGCAGGCCTTACATTTATTGAGGGTGGTGTTATCCTGTCTCCACATGCCCTCACTCTCAAGGGGCCCCAGTGTCTCAGGCTATCCCAGTATATACAGACGCACAGGAGCAGGGAGTAGGGTCTTTTACTTGGCGGGCTCTCCGTGAGCTCTGAACCGATAAAGACATGTGTACTCAGGATGGCCCCAGTTGGAAAAAATCCGAAGCTCCACTATTTGGAAAGCTTGCTCTTGCCTTTTCTGAAATCAAGGGAAACATTACACTGTGTCTGAAATCAAGGGAAACATTACACTGTGTCACATTAACAACGAGGCCTGCCCAGGGACTGTGGCCAGCTGTGTCCTGCTGATGCAGGAGCCAGCAGGGGACAGGGAACCCACCAGTCTGCGTGATGAGGCAGCCCCTACCTGTGCGTAGAACATTTGGAGTGACTCCCCTTCCTGGTCATACGTGAACCGCCCCAGAAGCTGCCCTTCTTCTTGATACTCATCCTCTAATCCCTGAAACCAAAGCCACATAGTCTCTAAGACCTGCAGGAGCGACACTGAGCAAATCAGTAGTGTTTCCCTCCCACCGGCTGGGGCAGCCACTCTGTTAAAGCAGCGGCAGGTCTGATGTGTTAAGGTTGTCACTCAAGTTTCAACAATCCTGTGAGGCAGGGATTTTCTGTTCCCTCAGAGAGCAGGAAGGCTGGGTGCCGGGCACACCAATGTGGAGAAGCAGGGACTGTGGGGGGTCACTCCTTTCCCAAGTGGCCTCGGCTGCCTGCAGCGCTGCCAAGGGGAACCCCCGGGCAGCTGATGCGCCGGGAGAGCCAGACATGGTCAGCCGAGTGCAGGGATGAAAGTGGGAGGGGTGGGGGGTGGTGCCAGGGCTGGGGAGGGAGTGTTTTGTAGGGCAGTTTTGGTTTGAGAAGATGGACAGACTCAGGCGTACAGTCAAATAAATAAGGAGGATGTGAAGATGCCCCACTTATCCTGAAATATGGAAAACTGAAATGTTCAACAAAAGGAGAACTGGTAAGGTCAACACGGGTTAACTATGTACCAGTATTTTATACTACTTAAAGATGTGTATAAAGAGTTAACTGCCATGGAAAAATATGATAAATTTGCTTTTTTAAGGCAGGAAGCAAAGACTTTATGAACGGTGTTGTCTAAACTGTATTATTTAAAGGGAGAAAAAGAGATCAAGCAATGCCACAGCGTTAAAGGTGAGCCCTGGAGGCTGGTGGGGCCTTAGCTGTGCTCTCTCACACTCCTTATTCTTCCTTGTAGATTCACCATCACAGAGCTGTGAGAACTACTGCAGATGAACAGACCGGAGAGATGAAATAAAACTGTCCAGGTCAGGCAAGCTTACCTTCATCTGCCTCACAACACACACAAACTTCCCAAAGTTACCCTCCTGGGAAAGGACTAGACTGTTCCCCTCACCATTTACTCTGCAACTCAGAGTATCATAGGACATGGGGAGCACTGAGACAGCGTCACCAGGAAACACAATGGAGCTATCTCAGCCTTTCCAGGCTCATCTCTGGGAAATTCCCAGAGTGGGATGCAGAGGAGGGAGCGCCCCCCAGGCCCCCACCCCCCCAGGACGAGTACACTCACATGGATGGCGAAGTCCTTGGGGGCGCTGGTGATGGTGCCCGTGGGCGACAGGGTCCTTGGAATGTGCTCCAGGGCGAAGCTGGTCGGGCGGATCTTCATGGACAGCCTCACCACGAGGAACCCCTGGGAGCCTTTGAAAGCCCAGCAGTTACCTGGATATATGTCAGGCTAGGGAAAGGGCAAAATACTAAAAACTTAAGGAAAAGAAACAGTAAGAGACTGGTAATGTTGAAATACAAAGAGAATTTTTGCATGGTAAAAAACCATATGCAGTATTCAAAGACAGATAAAAGACAGCTGTAAATCCCAAGGGTGGCTCTCCAACACATACATAAGTTTCACAAACATCAAGGTAGCCAGAACCTCAAAGAAAAAAGGACAAGACATACCAACACGTTTCAAAGAAAAATATATGTAAATGGTCCCCAAACATGAAAATATGCTCCGTGTTATGAAATAAGAGAAATACAAATGTAAATGACAGGTGTAACCATGTCTCACCTAACAGATTAACAATAGCCCAAAAGTCTAACCAAAGCTGCTGCTAATGCCAAGGGGAAAGGCACACTGTCCCACACTGCTGACCAGTATACGAAACGCACAGCCTCCTGAGGCACAGTCTGCACAGACCCAGCACCAGAGCCTATGCATTTGCCCCGCGGCCCACTAACCCCTATTCTATCCCCAAGATAAGCTGGCAAACACACAAAATGACATAGGCATAAGGATATTTATCGTAAGAGTACTTTTGACAGCAAAGGGGAGCCACATGCCTCCCGATGGGCCTCATGGAGTACCCCGGGGACACCCCACAGTAAAGTGCCAGCCTGTGTGCAGTGCCAACTAGGACATGTCACACTGGTGAGCAGGTGCTGTGCCTGCCGCCTTCTGAATAAAGTGGGGGAGGAGCAAGGGCATATTATCTGCGTTTTCACAAAGACAGACCCAGTAACAGGCCTGCATTCAACTTTGGCTTGTCCCCTGTTCCTGCTATTAATTTACTGCCTCTTGGCTCCAAAGTCACCCTTTTCACCTGCCTGTGAAAATGGGACCTGGGCCCTTACCCTTATTAAATCAATTTCCTTTGCTGTCAGACTAAGCTGTCAACAGAGGGTGCTGCAGGGATGCTGTGGGTCCCCGGCAGCCCCCTCAGAGTTTTCTGTAGTTGAGTGCCTCTCCTGAGTCACACATCCTGGGCAGCTTTCCCAGCACCCCAGAGGGTGGATTTCTGGCAAATTTCCAGCCGTTCAGTGAGCCATAGCTGTGCAGCTACAAAAAGACTGGGTAAACCCTGGGTGGGGCTGGGGAGACACCTTCCTGGTGCCCTGCCTAGACTCTAAAACCTGTCCTTCTTAGTGGCTGATCACCTGCTATTCCAACGCCATCACTCAAACCATTCCTATGTCCAGCTTCCTGTTCAGGCTGCTGTATGGCTTCTCCTGATGAGCTGTATTGAGTGGACTTGTACCCCACTCCCTTGTTCACACACAGCCAAGGATGAGTTTCTTCCTAACGACCAGATCCAATCAGCACAACAGCGACAATGCTGTGGGCTGGTGTGACATTCAGGGAGCATCCACAATACCGAGACCTCTGAACTATCATGGCCAAGAGCAAAAGTGGTGCAGCCCAAGGCAATACGGAAGGGGTCCTGTTGGCACCGCAGACCAGGGCAGAGGAGCACTTCACACGCCACGAGCCAGGGCGGCGCTGTCTTACTGGGGGGAGTGCGCACCTGCCTTTGGCGATGAGCAGTGCAGGGATGCTCTGCCATGTCGCCCAGGGCTTGAGCCCGCTGGGAACAAACACTGATGAGCGAAGGGAAGCCAGGTGGCCCCACATGCCGTCACGCTGGCCAGGTGCCAGTTACTAGGACAGTACCAAGGGGTCCAATATTCTAAGTTTACTGCTACTTAATGCTCAACCCAATCCACAAGTCCTTTAAGACTGGGCTTGTGTTTTAAATGAAAGGGAGCTGTCATGTGGATGTTTCAAGTAAAAGAAACTATTTGAATTGTCTTTATACAATTGCTGTCATCAAACAAGGCAGCATTAGTAGCAAGGTAAATGGGTATGTGACAGCTTAAACTTGCCATCCTTTCTCTTCAAAGTGGAACCAGCGAGGGTATACAGCCAGGCCCTGCAGAAGCAGCCTGCCAGGCTAGAGGGAAGATGAAGGCCCCTGGGTCGGCGGGAGAGCACTCAGGAGGTGAGGCTTCCCTGTATGCTAATGAGGCTTCTCTCCCGGGGCACGTCTTACAAGGAGAAAGCACAGCCTACTAGTCATCTCACACTGGGATGCCTCTTGTGGGTGACAGCACCTGCCCCAGTTGGGACAACCTCACAAACCAGGTGGAGGAAACGCTAGCAGAGCAAACTGCAGGCATCAGCAGCCACCCTCTGAGGGAGGAGGGGAGAGGGAGGCCCAGAGGTACTGCGACAGCTGCTCCCTGGTCTGACGCTGGTTCCACAGAATGTCCTCTACTAGAATTCAGTGAGCTACACGCCTGTCCCTGTGCATCTCACACCGCAACAGAAAACTGGAAAAGGCACATCACTAAGTTGGTCACAACTGGTACTTGACACCCAAGGCCTCAACAGCCAGGATGGTGCCAGAGCCCTGCAGCTGCCCAGATGGGGCACACGCACCTGGATCACCACGCGGGGGGACTGAGAGAAGTACCACAGAGGGATCCCAAACAGGCTGATGAGCGCCGTCTTGGTCTCATAGGTCTCAGAACAGCGTGTGCCCAGGATGCTGCCACCTTAAAGAGGAGTTTACACTGGTTCAGTATCTGATTCTACCATCTTGGAACTAATACCATTATACATCTACAGATTTATTTGTAATGTTTTAATATTCTCAAGTTTTTAACTGGTACAAAGAACCTTCTACTCTAAGATCAGCTGATTCTTAATTTAAGTTTCCCAAATAAGGTGTTAATAGTTTGCAATTGTGTTAGGAATCCTGACTTAAACCTACTGAAACGTGGAGTCTGAAAACACTGCCTACCCCCACCCTCATCTACTCCCATAGGGGCAGCGACTCTGAATGCACTTCTGTTCAGTTTTAGATAAAGAATAATGACTTCAACTGGGCACTAGTGTTACCTGGCAGTTGAGTTTTTAGAGGGCCTATTTAATAGGCCGAAGTGATGTCATATCATGAATGTCATATCATGACAGTCATCAACTACTGGAGCGATGGAGTACCTGCCAGTGGGGCCCAGGTCTCCATCTGGGTAACAGAAATAGTCTAGATGTGGGGCAGACGAGGGGGTGCACAGCGAACACACAAAGAGCCACCAGGCTGCACACCGTGTGTCATATCTCAGTGATGATGAACAAGAAGGTGCCAGTGTCCACTGTGCCCCTCAACAGGGAGGAGGGTGGACGACACTGGTGCCAAAGCAGCCAAAACAAGCACGTTCACTCGGGAAGCAACAACCAAAAGCAGTGCGTTAAAAATGAAAACCCCTGAAAAGTTTGCATCCACAGAGACAACACTTCCTAAATTTGGCCCCTGCAACACAGTCTCATGCCCCACCTTTGGGCCTGTGCATTTAACAGGGGAGAGAACTGAATGTATGGATTTGCATTTTAAGTAAGAAAACAAAAATGTAGGGATTTGCATTTTAAGTAAGAAAAAAAGCTTTGATCAAGCTCATCAACAGACCTGAATTTCTGAACCACTAAATTATCCACTTAAAACACCTTATTCTCATTCTAAAAAGTCTCCTTAAGTATGGTGCTTGCTTTTTTAACTTACAGAGTTAATAAATGCTCTGCTTAGTACCAGAACTCTCAGCTCAACCTCATTAGAACTCTAAATCAATTAACACACAAATCTGTAAGGATGAATTATACTTCTAAGAAAAAAATGACACCTACTGGTCCCAAATGCATTAGTTAACATGTAAGCTGAAATTTCTGCATTGAAAACAATTTCTTCAGAATTCACTTCATTTCAAAATATGTAACTAAAATCACCTAATAGTCTAAAGTCATTCTCAACAAAATATACACTGAGAACAGTTAATAGCCTTACTAACTCCTACCTAACACTAAAAGAATTTGGTGATTTTTACATTAACAGCAGTTCTCACACACAACGTTAACACCCCCCGTAAGATGGCAAATGGCTGGAGTCAGGGCCAGAGCTACCTGAAACCCACTGGGGATGAGGTTCCTGATGCAGGGCCTCCCATCTGGATTCCTAGAACCACTGGGTAAAGTAGTGAGACCACTGCTGCCCCACAGGACTCTCCAACTCTTTCACGTGCTAATGTATAACAAGGCCTCCTTTTCTCCAGAGATGATGTTGGCCCACAAGCCCTCATGTGCAATTCCTAAATTCTTAAAGTTCAGAAAACAAAATTTTCTGTAACACAGAGACAAACTGACATGCTTGTCGCTTAGTCTTCAGCTCACTTAGTACAGACGTTCACCTGATTCTTCATAGAAATGCTCCTGAGTTTGATGTGGGTGGACGTGGAGGTCACGTGGACCCCCAACACTTCAATGCACCACAGTTCTGACTTCTCAAATATATCTGGCCCCAAAATTCTGGTGCATGTGTAGTACAAAGTTAATGTACCCCAACTTCTCAGAGTTAACATACCCCAATTTCTTCATTTCTTTGAGGAACCAAAATAGCATCCCCATCAGACTCTTTATTTGGTCTTTGTTTTCCCAATATTTTTGGCTACTTGATGTCTATCACCTGCCTCCCCACTAGAGTAGAGACCCAGAGCTCAGGAACTCTGGCTCACTGCTATGTTCCTGAGGCCCAGAACAGGCCCTGTGGGCAGCAGGCATTCCAACCCTGATGCCCAACTGCCTGATGGGACACACACTACCATCACAGAACACCAGTCCCGGGAAACATTTAAAAAATGCTGCTACAGCATCCATTTCTGTACTGGACTTCTGTACTTAGATGCACACGCACATACACACGCGTGCACACACAAAGACACACACACACACACTCTCTTTCTCACCCAGTGGTGGTAAGCTCTGATATAGCTGAAAGAACCCAAAAGCTACTGAAATGGCCCCAAATTGGGATTTTGCTGACATGTCTGATCACATGGGCTTACCCCCACAATTGATATATGTTCTGTAAGCATGCCACCAGCCCTTCTAGGGTAGAACCTGTCCATACCCTAAAACTAACACACTTAAGACTTGCCTAGAGCAATGCTTCCTCAGATTTTTTAAAGTTCTGAGAAGTTCTTCACTGTTGAAGTGGGGCAGGTAACAGCTTCTCAGATCTAAATCCCCATAAAACAGACACCCACCAAATTCAGAAATTTACAGTCCAGTCACTTACCCCCAGATTCCAGGGCAAAGTCTACCATGCCAGTCTTATCTTGGGAATACAATTTCAAAGCGTTGCTGACGATGACATGTGCTTGCTAGGCAGTGCACAGGAGCCGCACACCAGAGGCCAGAGGGAGAGATGAGACTCGTATTAATGACAGGGTAGGGACGGATGTTTCCAGTAAAAACATTTTGGTTAACTATTTTGGGGATAAAAGGTACAGGAGGTGTTTCAGAAATTCGAAACTTCACTCCCGCACCCAACTTCCAGGCCATCAGGGTGGCTGGGGCTGTCAGGTGGGGACAGGCGGTACTACAGCCTGTGTGCCTCTCCCCACGCTCAAACACACTCACAACAAACTGAACCAGAAGAGCCTCTGGGTGCTGTAAAATGTGGACAAAGCAAGGATTAGAATTAGGGACTCAAGCCTGATTTTTGTGTGACTTCTGAAGGCATGTAGTCACCCAGATAGATGGGACAGAGTACTATCAACAAGTAGCTCCGTACCAACAACAGCCAGAATTTACCGAGCGCTGACTTCTGAACCCATATGTACTCAGCCCTCTATACCAACCACACCCCCGTGAGACCATTCTTAGAACAAGACATCAAACTACGCCAGCTTGACAACCAGACCATCAGTTTGATTACAATATGGATTCCAAACATTTCTCATTATCTACTCACCGCTTCTGTTATTCCAGAAACCCCTGCCTCACTCATAGCAGAAGCTACAGTCTCAGGAGTTGGGATCTGTTTTCTCACAGAAATGTGGTGGGTAATGTTCTTCAGTATCCGCATCTCTAAATCTTGCAATAAAATCTGCAAGTCATCTTTGCTCACAAACTGAGAAGAAACCTTCTGCAGCACCCATTCAAGAGAACCATCTTGCTGATCACCGGAAAACATGAGTTTGATAGTTTCTCTGACTTGGGCGTCTACCTGGTAAAATCATTAGTAAATACAATATGAATTTACTGTTGTTCCTTTCAACCCTTCACTACCATCACTTTATAGATATATTGATGTATCTATCACACAGCTTCTCAAAATCCATAATATAAGCGCAACAATTTGTTTCCCTTCATATTACATTTAAGACCCCCTCCAAAAGTACATCACAGGACGGGGACAAAAAAAGAGCACAGCATAAATGTAACATGTGCCCACAGAGATAAGGAAGAAGGGCCTTCCTCTAGTCTGCAACTAGCCCTCACAGTGCCCCCCATGAGCTAGGGTACAGAAAAGGACCTCCTTTCTTTTCAAACTCAGTCTTGATTCGTGTATGCTAGAGATGACCTGTGCATTATTTCCACACAATCATGTATTTATTCATGAAGGGTGGAGCACAGGAGCAAAGCCCAGGACAAGCATGGTGCCTCACAGCAACATGTGTAGATCTAACTCACCCACATGAAAAGCTCTGTAATGTGTGTGCACCACTACCCTGCCCCACACTCCCCTAACCATGGGGCCACCTCAGCCTTGTAGCACTCCAGGGCTGACCTCACAGCACTTTGTTTGTGTCCATCTGTGCCTTCGTGTCTGCAGAAGCCCTAAGAGTATATGGCTGCTAGTTGCCATGAGAATGTGTCTTTGTGACTGGGTAGTATCTCAGATCTTTTCTCAAAAAGGCTGTAGGCACTCGCAGTCCCTGCAGCCACAGAGCAGCCCGGCCACCCCAGTCAGCACTCAGTGTTTTTATTCTTGCCAATGTGAAGGCTGAACAAGTCCATTTAACCTGCAGTCCCCCTTAGTGAGACTGCTCACACGCATCGCCCATGCTTCCTCCCATCAGCGTCAGGAGCGGTAATTTTATCACAAGTACTTCAAATACCTTTCCCAGATCTGCTGTTGTGACAACACTGGCCATTCAAATGTCTGTTCTTTCATTATCACACAGCTGTAAATGTTCAGACTTCCTTTTTTGCATAAGGATATATGGGCCAGAGCAATGAATCTACTTTGGTTGAAAAGACATACAAAAACAGCCCACCTCAAATAAATTATGTGCTATCTGCACGTGAACAAACTGTGAGAAGGTACAGACCTAAGTGTTAAGAGGGTGATGGTAGCAGAGGGGGGAAACTCAAGAAGAATTTTTAATTATTTCATTTAAAATCTTATTATAAATGTTAAAAAAACCTCAAATAGAGTAAAATTAAGTTTTTAAAGGAAGTTGGAATTAAAAATGTAAAATGGTGACATCAAATCAAGTGTTTCTTCTTTACTTTTTAGGATAAAACTAAGATGGAGAAAACTTGCCTTTTCATGTATTTTATCTAGCCTTCCACAGCTGGTTTTCAAATGCTGCCAATCTGACAATTCTGATTTCAGATGACCCAGCTCCAGTTCAAGATGCCTAACCACGGAGAGCAGGCGCTGGTCTTCGTCGACTCCACTGGCAACCCCGAAGCAGTCACGTGTCACAAATCACATAGCAGAAAGTGAATGCATTCAGTTAACACATTTAGGAGAGGCCAACCACATTCCCAGATAAGGCACTATTATAAATATATCAGTTTGTCCTATGTCAACATAGAAATTTAACACTAGTTGCAAATCAAAACCCAAAGAGATTTTTCTCCATACTGCATAGGCAGGGCTAGCAATGTGCTAGTAACAGTGGTTACCTCTTAGTGGTAAGGGAAAGATTGCTCTCAAGACTATTTAAACAACACTTCCTAAATTTGGCCCCTGCAACACAGTCTCATGCCCCACCTTTGGGCCTGTGCATTTAACAGGGGAGAGAACTGAATGTATGGATTTGCATTTTAAGTAAGAAAACAAAAATGTAGGGATTTGCATTTTAAGTAAGAAAAAAAGCTTTGATCAAGCTCATCAACAGACCTGAATTTCTGAACCACTAAATTATCCACTTAAAACACCTTATTCTCATTCTAAAAAGTCTCCTTAAGTATGGTGCTTGCTTTTTTAACTTACAGAGTTAATAAATGCTCTGCTTAGTACCAGAACTCTCAGCTCAACCTCATTAGAACTCTAAATCAATTAACACACAAATCTGTAAGGATGAATTATACTTCTAAGAAAAAAATGACACCTACTGGTCCCAAATGCATTAGTTAACATGTAAGCTGAAATTTCTGCATTGAAAACAATTTCTTCAGAATTCACTTCATTTCAAAATATGTAACTAAAATCACCTAATAGTCTAAAGTCATTCTCAACAAAATATACACTGAGAACAGTTAATAGCCTTACTAACTCCTACCTAACACTAAAAGAATTTGGTGATTTTTACATTAACAGCAGTTCTCACACACAACGTTAACACCCCCCGTAAGATGGCAAATGGCTGGAGTCAGGGCCAGAGCTACCTGAAACCCACTGGGGATGAGGTTCCTGATGCAGGGCCTCCCATCTGGATTCCTAGAACCACTGGGTAAAGTAGTGAGACCACTGCTGCCCCACAGGACTCTCCAACTCTTTCACGTGCTAATGTATAACAAGGCCTCCTTTTCTCCAGAGATGATGTTGGCCCACAAGCCCTCATGTGCAATTCCTAAATTCTTAAAGTTCAGAAAACAAAATTTTCTGTAACACAGAGACAAACTGACATGCTTGTCGCTTAGTCTTCAGCTCACTTAGTACAGACGTTCACCTGATTCTTCATAGAAATGCTCCTGAGTTTGATGTGGGTGGACGTGGAGGTCACGTGGACCCCCAACACTTCAATGCACCACAGTTCTGACTTCTCAAATATATCTGGCCCCAAAATTCTGGTGCATGTGTAGTACAAAGTTAATGTACCCCAACTTCTCAGAGTTAACATACCCCAATTTCTTCATTTCTTTGAGGAACCAAAATAGCATCCCCATCAGACTCTTTATTTGGTCTTTGTTTTCCCAATATTTTTGGCTACTTGATGTCTATCACCTGCCTCCCCACTAGAGTAGAGACCCAGAGCTCAGGAACTCTGGCTCACTGCTATGTTCCTGAGGCCCAGAACAGGCCCTGTGGGCAGCAGGCATTCCAACCCTGATGCCCAACTGCCTGATGGGACACACACTACCATCACAGAACACCAGTCCCGGGAAACATTTAAAAAATGCTGCTACAGCATCCATTTCTGTACTGGACTTCTGTACTTAGATGCACACGCACATACACACGCGTGCACACACAAAGACACACACACACACACTCTCTTTCTCACCCAGTGGTGGTAAGCTCTGATATAGCTGAAAGAACCCAAAAGCTACTGAAATGGCCCCAAATTGGGATTTTGCTGACATGTCTGATCACATGGGCTTACCCCCACAATTGATATATGTTCTGTAAGCATGCCACCAGCCCTTCTAGGGTAGAACCTGTCCATACCCTAAAACTAACACACTTAAGACTTGCCTAGAGCAATGCTTCCTCAGATTTTTTAAAGTTCTGAGAAGTTCTTCACTGTTGAAGTGGGGCAGGTAACAGCTTCTCAGATCTAAATCCCCATAAAACAGACACCCACCAAATTCAGAAATTTACAGTCCAGTCACTTACCCCCAGATTCCAGGGCAAAGTCTACCATGCCAGTCTTATCTTGGGAATACAATTTCAAAGCGTTGCTGACGATGACATGTGCTTGCTAGGCAGTGCACAGGAGCCGCACACCAGAGGCCAGAGGGAGAGATGAGACTCGTATTAATGACAGGGTAGGGACGGATGTTTCCAGTAAAAACATTTTGGTTAACTATTTTGGGGATAAAAGGTACAGGAGGTGTTTCAGAAATTCGAAACTTCACTCCCGCACCCAACTTCCAGGCCATCAGGGTGGCTGGGGCTGTCAGGTGGGGACAGGCGGTACTACAGCCTGTGTGCCTCTCCCCACGCTCAAACACACTCACAACAAACTGAACCAGAAGAGCCTCTGGGTGCTGTAAAATGTGGACAAAGCAAGGATTAGAATTAGGGACTCAAGCCTGATTTTTGTGTGACTTCTGAAGGCATGTAGTCACCCAGATAGATGGGACAGAGTACTATCAACAAGTAGCTCCGTACCAACAACAGCCAGAATTTACCGAGCGCTGACTTCTGAACCCATATGTACTCAGCCCTCTATACCAACCACACCCCCGTGAGACCATTCTTAGAACAAGACATCAAACTACGCCAGCTTGACAACCAGACCATCAGTTTGATTACAATATGGATTCCAAACATTTCTCATTATCTACTCACCGCTTCTGTTATTCCAGAAACCCCTGCCTCACTCATAGCAGAAGCTACAGTCTCAGGAGTTGGGATCTGTTTTCTCACAGAAATGTGGTGGGTAATGTTCTTCAGTATCCGCATCTCTAAATCTTGCAATAAAATCTGCAAGTCATCTTTGCTCACAAACTGAGAAGAAACCTTCTGCAGCACCCATTCAAGAGAACCATCTTGCTGATCACCGGAAAACATGAGTTTGATAGTTTCTCTGACTTGGGCGTCTACCTGGTAAAATCATTAGTAAATACAATATGAATTTACTGTTGTTCCTTTCAACCCTTCACTACCATCACTTTATAGATATATTGATGTATCTATCACACAGCTTCTCAAAATCCATAATATAAGCGCAACAATTTGTTTCCCTTCATATTACATTTAAGACCCCCTCCAAAAGTACATCACAGGACGGGGACAAAAAAAGAGCACAGCATAAATGTAACATGTGCCCACAGAGATAAGGAAGAAGGGCCTTCCTCTAGTCTGCAACTAGCCCTCACAGTGCCCCCCATGAGCTAGGGTACAGAAAAGGACCTCCTTTCTTTTCAAACTCAGTCTTGATTCGTGTATGCTAGAGATGACCTGTGCATTATTTCCACACAATCATGTATTTATTCATGAAGGGTGGAGCACAGGAGCAAAGCCCAGGACAAGCATGGTGCCTCACAGCAACATGTGTAGATCTAACTCACCCACATGAAAAGCTCTGTAATGTGTGTGCACCACTACCCTGCCCCACACTCCCCTAACCATGGGGCCACCTCAGCCTTGTAGCACTCCAGGGCTGACCTCACAGCACTTTGTTTGTGTCCATCTGTGCCTTCGTGTCTGCAGAAGCCCTAAGAGTATATGGCTGCTAGTTGCCATGAGAATGTGTCTTTGTGACTGGGTAGTATCTCAGATCTTTTCTCAAAAAGGCTGTAGGCACTCGCAGTCCCTGCAGCCACAGAGCAGCCCGGCCACCCCAGTCAGCACTCAGTGTTTTTATTCTTGCCAATGTGAAGGCTGAACAAGTCCATTTAACCTGCAGTCCCCCTTAGTGAGACTGCTCACACGCATCGCCCATGCTTCCTCCCATCAGCGTCAGGAGCGGTAATTTTATCACAAGTACTTCAAATACCTTTCCCAGATCTGCTGTTGTGACAACACTGGCCATTCAAATGTCTGTTCTTTCATTATCACACAGCTGTAAATGTTCAGACTTCCTTTTTTGCATAAGGATATATGGGCCAGAGCAATGAATCTACTTTGGTTGAAAAGACATACAAAAACAGCCCACCTCAAATAAATTATGTGCTATCTGCACGTGAACAAACTGTGAGAAGGTACAGACCTAAGTGTTAAGAGGGTGATGGTAGCAGAGGGGGGAAACTCAAGAAGAATTTTTAATTATTTCATTTAAAATCTTATTATAAATGTTAAAAAAACCTCAAATAGAGTAAAATTAAGTTTTTAAAGGAAGTTGGAATTAAAAATGTAAAATGGTGACATCAAATCAAGTGTTTCTTCTTTACTTTTTAGGATAAAACTAAGATGGAGAAAACTTGCCTTTTCATGTATTTTATCTAGCCTTCCACAGCTGGTTTTCAAATGCTGCCAATCTGACAATTCTGATTTCAGATGACCCAGCTCCAGTTCAAGATGCCTAACCACGGAGAGCAGGCGCTGGTCTTCGTCGACTCCACTGGCAACCCCGAAGCAGTCACGTGTCACAAATCACATAGCAGAAAGTGAATGCATTCAGTTAACACATTTAGGAGAGGCCAACCACATTCCCAGATAAGGCACTATTATAAATATATCAGTTTGTCCTATGTCAACATAGAAATTTAACACTAGTTGCAAATCAAAACCCAAAGAGATTTTTCTCCATACTGCATAGGCAGGGCTAGCAATGTGCTAGTAACAGTGGTTACCTCTTAGTGGTAAGGGAAAGATTGCTCTCAAGACTATTTAATATTTGAATTATAAAAAAGACTTCAGAAATGAGGCAATATTTACCAATAATCATTATAAAGTTGAATATGACTTTTCACGCTAATGGGGTAATAGAACTAAAAATGTATGGATTCAGGGTTTAACAATTCTGTTTTTATGCAGGAATTGCGTATTATAAAATATTGCAGTATTATGTTTACACTTGTTTATAGGTAGGTATAGTTATTGAGTTACCAATAATTCATAGCAGGAGAGGACACTCCAGGGCAACCATTTTAGGATCTACATATTAGCCTATCAAAGCACCTTCTAACAGAAATAAAGGCTCTGGAAGGGAAGTAAAAAATGTGCCATAACAACACTTACATCCACCTGTATAGAAGACTTTACGGGGTCTAAAATTGTGATACAGGATCCACAAAAATATCTGGGAGCCAGAGATGAAAAGATGCTCAGTTAAAGCTCATCCTCTGGACCCTCCCAGGTCAAGCCTCAGGAAAAAGAAAAGCTAAAGGGCTAAAGATGTCACCTGTCATGTAGCCTGTAGAGGGGATGGGTCAAGGGCAGGGTGGGAAAAAAAATCACCAGCTTTTTTGAGAGAAACTCCACACTTTTAGGGAAGCTGATAAAAGGGCAGAAGGAAAGCAACCTGGCGATGAGGAGAAAGACAGACCAGCAAACTGCTGAGGGAAAAGGGCTGCTTTGATGGCAAAGAAACGCTCAGAGGAGGCACAAGGCCACAGCTTCCGGGTGGAGAAGGCTAGCAGCCTTGCTGAGAACTACCCAATACAAAAGGGCTGTCCCAGAAGGCAAGAGGCTGCTTCTGCTTCTGGGGAATGGGGGTGGGGGACAAAGGCTGAGCTCTGATGCCAAGAGTGCCAGCAGAGATCCTGGTGTGGAGCCCACCCGACACCATGATACAAGCTCTCACAGGGCATCTCATCTGCGCGCTGAGGGTGGCCCTCCAAGCACACCCAGTCCTGAGTGTTGGGGTTCAGGCAGGTGCAACACTGTCTTTGGGGCTCTGCACAGACAGGGCAGATAGTAACAAGCCTCTCACACCCCAATCTGTTCCCAGACGGCTCCCAAGGGCCTCCCAGAAGGCACAGATGGGAGCACCTCCCCCCACAAAGCCCAGGTACTCCAGGTGCAGACAGCATCCACACATCAGTGATGTTAGGGGCAGCTGCACTGCAGGCAACAGAAGAGAAACAAAGGCAAAATGTTAATTCACATGTATCATCCTACCTAATTGTTCTTAGCTTGATCTGTTCTAATTCCTTCTGGATGGCCTAGAACATATGAGAAACACTGAGTTTAAACATACAAGCTGTATACTAACTTTCATAAAACCATATATTTGATTAAGTACATTCATATTTATATACATATATATGAAAATATATGCCTATGGAATTTTCCCCCTTTAATTCAGAATCCAGATCTGCCTATTGGCTGGCAGATGGGGGATGTATATTTTATCTTTCAAAGTAAACTTTTAAAAGACATACAACCTATATTCAGAGAGGTGCAAATTATACTGGAACAGCTTGATGGATTTTCAAAATGAGCAGCTCCTATAACAAGCACCCAGACCCAGAAGCAGAACACTGCCACCACCTCTGGGAAGAATTTAATGTGGAAGGACAAGTAAAAGGAAATGACAAGCTTACAGATGAAGATATAACTTACTAGCATGGTCTGTTCAAAGACAAGGAGTTGATAGACTATACCGTCTCAAATAATTGCATCTGTTCAGACTAGAGCTGAACAGAGGTCTGGGCCTCACAGCGCATGTGACAGCGAGGTGCGGCAGAGCAACTCACTTCCCTCCAGCTCCTGCTCTTCCCTCAACACCACGGAAACATCTCCCTGATGAACTGACTTGCCTGGTTCTGGTAGGGTCAGGGCCGTGGCAGCCAGTCCTGAGATCCCCCAGAGCTGTGCCATGTCTAATGCCGGTGTAATTCAACAAACATACGCCACCTAATGTGCCCGGCCACTCTAATAGCATCTAATAGCACTCATGCTACATGGAAGCTGAGCCTGAGCATGCCCCAGTCTCTGTGGATTTGATCATGCAGACATCTGGCCTTTTTCCTCTGCCTTTACCAACATCTGACAACAGACTTTTCCCCCAGAAAATTAATCTTGCCTATCAAAAGACTCAGGTCCACCATTCTCCCCCTAAGATGTTGCTTTGGTGGACGCTGTGTGATGTCCAGGAGAAACGGGGCCTCTGGAACGGGGAGAGCCAGCCATGTGCCTCTGCATCCCAGCTGCTCCCTGCGCTCAGGCCTCCCCCTGGAAGGCACCTCTAAACCAATGAGCCAGACACACTTTAGGGAAAACTTCCAAGGTAAAATGGGAAGAGCCAGAAGTATTTTTTTCAGCTTTATGATGGGCAGCAGCAAATACCCTAAAAGAAGTACCTTCAAGGCTAAGGAATGAGAACACATTGGCTGCAGCTGATTTCTTGTAGGAAGGAAGTTACTCTGGTGGGGGCTGCAGTTAAAAAGCAAGAGTGAGGGAGCCAAGATGGCGGCATGAGTAGAGCAGTGGAAATCTCCTCCCAAAACCACATATACCTAAGAAAATATGACAAAGACAACTCTTCCTAGAATAGAGACCAGAGGACACAGGACAACATCCAGACCACATCCACACCTGCAAGAACCCAGCGCCTCGCGAAGGGGGTAAGATACAAGCCCCGGCACTGCGGGTCCTGAGCGCTCCTCCCCCCAGCTCCTGGCGGGAGGAAAGGAGTCAGCAGGGAAGGAGAGGGAGCCCAGGACTGCTGAACACCCAGCCCCAGCCACCTGCACCAGAGCGCAGACACAGTGCATGCGTGGGATCCTGGATACTAGGGAAACACGGCAGCAAGACCTGTGGGCGGGTCCCTGAGGTCGGCGCCCGGGGCAAAAAAAAGCGAGCATCTTTTTTTTTCTTTTCGCGAGTGCTTTTTTGAAGTCTTAAAGGGACAGGGACCCCAAAACCGGGTGGAAACATCCCGGGACACTTAGTACAGCAGCATGGAATCTGGAGATCCCTGGGCTCTCTAACCCCCTGGGCAGCAGGGAGCACGGAGGCCCCTCATGGAGATAAATAGCCTCTGGCGTTCCCCCTCCAACGCGGCTCCACCATTTCAGAGCAGCAGCCCGAGGCAGGCCACACGCAAAGCAACAGCAGAGATAAGCTCCATAGCAGCCAGGCAGGAATCAGAAGCCCTTTCTGCGTGCAGCTGCCCAGCACAAGCCAATAGAGGTCGCTGTTCTCCCAGGAAAGGAAGGCCACAAACCAACAAGAAGGGAATTTCTTTCAGCCGTCACTCGTGCCAGCTCTGCAAACTATCTCTATCACCATGAAAAGGCAAAATTACAGGCAAAGATCACAGAGACAACACCAGAGAAGGAGACAGACCTAACCAGTCTCCTTGAAAAAGAATTCAAAATAAAAATCATAAACATGCTGACGGAGATGCAGAGAAATATACAAGAGCTAACGGATAAAGTCTGGAGGGAGATTACAGACGCCCAGAAAGAGATTACAGAAATGAAACAAAATCTGGAAGGATTTATAAGCAGAATGGATAAGATGCAAGAGGCCATTGATGGAATAGAAACCAGAGAACAGGAATGCATAGAAGCTGACATAGAGATAAAAGGATCTCCAGGAATGAAACAATATTAAGAGAACTGTGTGACCAATCCAAAAGGAACAATATCCGTATTATAGGGGTACCAGAAGGAGAGAGAAAAAGGGATAGAAAGTGTCTTTGAATAAATAATTGCTAAAAACTTCCCCAAACTGGGGGAGGAAATAGTCAAACAGACCACGGAAATACACAGAACTCCCAACAGAAAGGACCCAAGGAGGACAACACCAAGACACATAATAATTAAAATGGCAAAGATCAAGGACAAGGAGAGTTTTAAAGGCAGCTAGACAGAAAAAGGTCACCTATAAAGGAAAACCCATCAGGCTATCATCATACTTCTCGACAGAAACCTTACAGGCCAGAAGAGAATAGCATTCAAGCTCTACTACAAAGCCATAGTAATCAAGACAATTTGGTACTGGCACAAGAACAGAGCCACAGACCAGTAGAACAGATTAGAGACTCCAGAAATTAACCCAAACATATATGGTCAATTAATATTTGATAAAAGAGCCATGGACATACAATGGCAAAATGACAGTCTCTTCAACAGATGGTGCTGGCAAAACTGGACAGCTACATGTAGGAGAATGAAACTGGACCATTGTCTAACCCCATATACAAAGGTAAACTCAAAATGGATCAAAGACCTGAATGTAAGTCACGAAACCATTAAACTCTTGGAAAAAAACATAGGCAAAAACCTCTTAGACATAAACATGAGTGATCTCTTCTTGAACATATCTCCCCGGGCAAGGAAAACAACAGCAAAAATGAGCAAGTGGGACTACATTAAGCTGAAAAGCTTCTGTACAGCGAAAGACACCATCAATAGAACAAAAAGGAACCCTACAGTATGGGAGAATATATTTGAAAATGACAGATCCGATAAAGGCTTGACGTCCAGAATATATAAAGAGCTCACACGCCTCAACAAACAAAAAACAAATAACCCAATTAAAAAATGGGCAGAGGAACTGAACAGACAGTTCTCCAAAAAAGAAATACAGATGGCCAAGAGACACATGAAAAGATGCTCCACATCGCTAATTATCAGAGAAATGCAAATTAAAACTACAATGAGGTATCACCTCACACCAGTAAGGATAGCTGCCATCCAAAAGACAAACAACAACAAATGTTGGCGAGGCTGTGGAGAAAGGGGAACCCTCCTACACTGCTGGTGGGAATGTAAATTAGTTCAACCATTGTGGAAAGCAGT